GCACAGAGGATGGGAAGATCGCGCCGCGGAGGCTTTGTAGCCACGAGAGATAGGAAAAGTATAGAGGGGGGCAACTTCCCTGGATTCCTGGGTTTTAAAACCGCTGAGGCCACTTCCGGGTTTTGGGACACGCACATCCCCAGCCATCGATACTGCAGATCTTGGTTCAGATTTAATTCACAGTGGAGCATTTGTCTTTTCTACCTGTGTCTTACCATCTGTGTATTTCTTCCTGTGTCTTACCATCTTCATCTACATTAAATGACCCTCACAGGAGAGCAATAGTTGATAGGGCAATAATCATCAAGAGTAAAACATAACCATTAAAATTTCTAGGGGATTTTATTTGTATTTTGGAATTGGGGGTGGGAACCGTATTTTTATTACACCACGACTTCTCGAACTTCCACGCGGCCGCAATCGCATCGCCCATCGTGTGGATTCTGCAATGCGCGCGCGAACCCAACACTACGCGGCGCTTGGCCACGAATCTAGAGGCGGAGTCACGGGGGAGGCGGGGCGCGCTCCGCCATTTCTCAGTATGTCCCAAGGGAGCCACCGTCAGGGCAAGGGAAGAGCAGCCCCGCCCCTCCCGCTGCTTTGAATTGACTTTGAATTCAAAGCCGCGCACGGAACTCTGCCCCTCCCTTTGCTCAGCAACCGTCACTTTCCTGTCGTTAGCGGGCGGGGTTTCCCCTCGTCGCCCTTTCGGCCGCCCTCTGCCCCGCTCGCCACGTCCTGTCAGGGCGAGGGAAAGGAGGCCCGGCGGGGCCTTGTCCCAGGCCAGCCCCGGCGCTGAGGGAGGCAAAGCTAGGGCGAGCGGGCAAGGGATGTCGCCGCTGCCACCACAGCAGCAGCCACCCCGCCGGCTCCCGCTGCTTCTGCTCTCCTCCTGCTGCGGGTGTCTCATCTGCCGGCGGCAGATTATATTTGCCGGAGGAGACATTCGCGCCGGCTGCAAGGGTGACTGGCGTCCCCATGAACTGCGAGGCTACCGACGGAGGAGATGGGAGGCCCGCGGCATTGCCGGCTTTGTCGTCGCCCTGGGTTACGATACCCTAAAGAAACCCACTGCCTTCACCCGCGTGTCGGATTTCGAGGACTGTATCCTGGAAACCAGGGATGCGGGTGGCGCTGTGGGTTAAACCACAGAGCCTAGGACTTGCCAATCAGAAGGTCGGCGGTTCGAATCCCACGATGGGATCCCTGCTCCTGCCAACCTAGCAGTTCGAAAGCACATCAAAGTGCGAGTAGATAAATAGGTACCACTCCGGAGGGAAGGTAAACTGTGTTTCCCAGAAGCGGCTTAGTCATGCTGGCCACATGACCTGGAAGCTGTATGCCGGCTCCGTCGGGCAATAAAGCGAGATGAGCGCCGCAACCCCAGAGTCGGTCACGACTGGACCTAATGGACAGGGGTCCCTTTACATTTTTATCCTGGAAACCAGATGGCTAACTCTCCACGATGACCTGGCCTGCCTTTTGCAGGACCCCCTCCTTCTATTCCCTGTTCAGGGAAGTTTTTAATGTGTGACATTTTAATGTATTTTTAATCTTTGTTGGAAGCCGCCCAGAGTGGCTGGGGAAACCCAGCCAGATGGGCAGGGTACAAATAATAAATTACTATTATTATTTGCTAGGGTCCCTCTTAGTCCCAGAATAAAGCAGCTGAGAAAGAAGAAGAAATGACGCCACCCCAAGCAGCGATGCCCTGCGTGCCCAAGGCTTGTGAGAGTTGGTTGCCGACAGCAGCCATACAAAACCAAACAACTAGATGCTTTGCCGAATTCTAGAAATCCGCCTGGACACCATTTTTAACACTGAAAAAGAGGATGTGACCTTGGGGGCCAGTCACTGTCTCTCAGCCTTACCTACCTCACAGGGTTGTTGTGGGGATATGATGGGGGAGAGGAGAAGTAGATTTGCTGTCTTAACTCTTTGGAGGAAGAGATGAAGATAAATGGGGTGGATGGGTAGGTAGGTGGATAGGAAGAAAGGTAGATTCCCCTTCCCTTTCAAATAACTCAGTGACACTCTCAGGATACAGTCATGGCGGCTCATGGGACCCTCAGGATCAGCCAGCTCGGCTGCGTATTGTACTAAGTCCCAAAGTGCACTTGGGGCAGCCATGAACTCAGCCAGGTGGCAGTTGGCTCCAAAGCCAACTGAAGGCGTTCTGGAATTTCCCTGTCCATGCATGGCCCCCATTGTGAGTTCACCAGCCCGAGGTTCTCCAGAACTCCCATTGGCTGATCTTCTGGAGTAGACAAAGATTTCCTGGGCCCCTAAGGCAGTGGCATAGAGAGAGCCCTAGTGGCTGGCATCTGCCTGCCACCTCCCCCTCAGCTGGCCTCCAGCAGAAGGGTGCCTGGGAGGGATGCAGCAGCTCAGTGCCCTGCAGGCCCTGCGCTGGCTGCAAAAGCAGTGGGGGGGGCAGCGTCCGAGCCACTGTGTCCCTCCCAGGCGCCCTCCAACTCACAACGGGGCAGGGTGCCTTGATGTACCACCACCCCACCCCCGAAGAAAAAAATGCCCAGGGCAATTGCCCCCCCATTCTAGGCCCCTGGGTAGGTAGGAAGACAAGTAGTTTCTTTTTACCTTCTAAAGAATTTCATGCTTCCGCCTTCCAGCCCCTGGCTGCACCAGTCCTTCATTTCATTCAGGTAATGGAGGGCAAAAAAACCCCAAAAGGCAGGTGGCACAGATGCTACTTAGCACAGCCATTATGATGGAGAAAGGTGCCACCCTGATGCCTTCCTCAGAGACACTGCGTGGTTCACAGACCTCAGGATTGTGTGCTGCTGGAGCTGTGTCCCTCCCATGTTGCCTGCAAAGAAGCGTGGGGCTTGCGCCCAAGCTGCTGCATCCCTCCCAAGCACCCTCCACCCAGACGGCAGCTGATGGGGAGGGGGGAGGCGGCAGGCGGATGCCAGCCTCGCACTGCTTTTTCAGGCAGCGCAGGACCTGCAAGGCACCCAAGCCACCTGCAGGGCACAGCTAGCCTCAGTGACACTATGGATGGGGCATGCTGGCGAGTCTGGGAATATCCCCCCACCCAGTTTAGGATATTCCACCATTCTTTAGCAGAGTTTCTTTTAGTGATGTTTCTTTTCTTTTAGGAATTTGTTCAATACAAGTACTGTATATGTCAAACAAAGCTTTAATAATAAAATTGTAACATAACATACTGTCTGAGAGAAACTAAAACAGCATCATGAGGCAAGAATGACAGTTGGCCTGTCCATTTGAACTTAACCGAACACCCGAAAGGAGGGGCCGATTCCAGAGCACAACACATAAGCCCTGCCCACCTGATGCCAGACATCCTAATAAATGTCACAAATGTTACAATCTCTTCACTGTGCCTAATTTGAATTAATAAAATTTAGTTTAGCACATAACTTCTCAAAACTTTCTTTCATTTCAATAAAGGCTTTGCTAAAATATCAGCTGTCATTTCCATTGTTGGACGATATTGCATTTCAATAAACCCATTCTGGCTCAAATCTCTTGTTGTATAACATTTTAGGTCTATGTGCTTAGTACGTGTATTTACCTTCTCTGACCACACCAATTTCAGACACCCTGATTGTCTTCCATAACCTTAATGAGCTTAGAATCTGGCATTCTGAGATCCTCTAAATTAAAAAAATGGGTAGGCAAACTAAGGCCTGGGGATCGGATCTGGCCCGTGGACGGTCCGAGAATCAGCATGTTTTTACATGAGTAGAATATGTCCTTTTATTTAAAATGCATCTCTGGGTTATTTGTGGGGCAAAAGAATTCTTTCATTTTCCTCCCAAAAATATAGTCCGGCCCCCCACAGGCTCTGAAGGACAGTGGATCGGTCCCTGCTCTAAGCCATTGTGCTTCTTCACATGTTTCTGAAGCAGAAAAATACTCTGCTGTCATATGACCTCCACACAAACAAATGGGAACAAATGCACAGTAAAACTCACAATCTAACCTTTGCATAACCTTGGGCCAGCAAATTTGTATGAATGCTCAATAAACAGCTCATCTAGAGGCGGCCTTTGTTGCTTTTTCATTCTGCACTGGATTACTTATGCATGAATGGAGCACATGAAATGCACACTATGTGAGGTGGCTTGAAAGTAAGGTGTTCTGTATACCTGAACGGATACGCAAAGTTATCATAAGAAACTTAGATGAATGCTATCTTGTGGCACACGTCCAATTTTGATATAATGAAGTGTCTCAGAAGTGAGTTTTAAGTAGCAGATCTTGCAGCAGGTTGAATAGCATCTGCTAATCAGAAAAAGCTCAACACAGAGATGCAGGAAACGTGAATAAATGTAATCGGTCTCAATCAGAGTTGATTAAAATGTTGACATTTGCTGTACCTAAAGATTATATTACATTTTTTAAAGGATTCCACGTCCCACAATGTGCCTACAAAGCCATACTTTTTATTCCAGATTTACTACATGCATGATGTTAGTCCACAGTGTAATCCATTTCTTTTAAAAAGCACACAGGAAGTTGCCTTATAAGATGCTCAGGCTATTTGTCTACTTAGCCTACTACAATCTGCCCAGTGTTGTCTGCTTAGCCTTCCCCAATTTAGGTTCCTCCAGATGCTATGCACAGAGATGTGCTGTCTGAGGCTGATGGGAGTAGTAGATCCTAACAGAAAAGCAAAGGAATATAGTTGATATGACAATAATCATTAAAAATTATAAATATAATAATCAAAAATTCTAGAAGGTTTTATGTGTACTGTATTTTGCAGCGGAATGTGGGGGCCATACTTTTATTGCACCACGACTTCTGGAACTTCCACGCGGCCGCGAATGCATAATCAATCGCGGGGGTTTTGTTTTTGCGATGCTCGGGCTCTAACTCAGGACTAGAATCCGGAGCAGCAGCGCGCACTTGCCAGTGCGACTGCGGGGGAGGCGTCCGAATGCCTCCCACGCCTCCGGAACAAACCGGGGGGCGCGGCTTCTTCTTCGCCAGACCTCCCTTTCTTACTTGCGCACAAGTAGCGGCTGCAGAGGGTCACTGCGCGCTTCGCCTTTGCGCGGACGCCGCTTTCCTCCTACTGAGACCCATCTCCTGGTGGGATCCGGGCTCCGACGCCAAAGGGCGCAGGATTCCAGCTGCTGCAGTGCCGGGGATGCTGAATCGCAGCTAAGTAATTAGAAGCTAAGTAAGAGACGGGGAGGGTTGCCGGTGCGCCCCAGAGCGATGGCGCAGGGCGGCGGGGAGTGGCAGAGCTTGGAGACGCTCCTGCGAAGCAGCCTCCGCGTCCTGCGTAGCAAGTGTGAGCAGCAGCCGGGGAGGCTCCCGGAGAGCGACGATCGCGCTGGGGAAGAGGAGGAGGAGGAGAAGCAGACGCCGCCGCCGCCCAGCGCCTTGGAGGCCCTGCCGGTAAGCGCGCCGTCGCCCCCGAGCCCGCCTGGCTCATCCCAGCCAGGCGAACGGCCGCCGCTTCCAGCAGTGTTGCAGAAAGTTCTCCGATGGAACTTCCCGTTCGCTCGGCTTCCCATTGGTCCCTTCACGGCCCCGCCCCTTTGACGCCAGGCAGTTGCACTCTTTATTTTATTTTATTTTAATATATTGCTGTGCGTCACCCCCATTCCAGGGGTTCCAGGCACTTACCCAGGGTCCGTGTTTCCTTTTGGCAATGAGGCACAGTTGAAACTCTGGTGTCTTTATGATATATACTGGTATATATGATAGGGGCTGTTGTTATGTTTTTATGCTTCCTAAATGATTCCTAAATATTTAAACTTTTTTTCCCAGATTGATGTGAAGTTATACATTATGTCCTTCCTCACACCCAAAGATCTGAGTAATTTGGGAAGCACCAATCGCTACTGGAGTATAACAGTCCAGGATCCCTTACTATGGCGTTATTTTCTCATCTGCGATCTTCCTTCCTGTCGTTCTATTGATTGGGAGTCAGTCCCTGATGCAAACATATTTAATAAATCCTTTTTTGAGCTTCATAATAGGGCCTCAAGTGACTACATGGCTGCGTAAGTATCCTCTAAAATTCCATATACGTAACGTACATCTTTATAGGCATATGAAGTTTTGTTCTGTATGTCTCCTAATCTTTTTAACCAAAAACATAACAGATTTAAAATAGCATAAATTGATGAACAGCTATAAACATTCAGTAATACTAAAACCTGATTCTACAATTACTCCTCTTTTTGTAAACATTATAAAACATGGGATATCAATAATACACTTGCCACTAATATATCATTAAATTTTATGCCACCCCAGATTTACCTTTGTGTGTTAGCAGATTGCCTTCGACAGTTAGTGTATGCCATCATAGAATCATATTACAGTGGTACCTCAGGTTACAGACGCATCAGGTTACAGACTCCGCTAACCCAGAAATAGTACCTCGGGTTAAGAACTTTGCTTCAGGATGAGAACAGAAATCGCGCGGCGGCAGCGGGAGGCCCCATTAGCTAAAGTGGTGCCTCAGGTTAAGAACAGACCTCCAGAACGAATTAAGTTCTTAACCCGAGGTACCACTGTACCTCCATTGTTTACAACACAGCCTTTGCTTAAGGCTTCTTTGTTGCTTCCCTCTTGACCATAGATGGCGATGTTTTGATGGCATAAGGATCCACGCTCAGAGAACTGAGTTTGCTATTAGCATATATTCAAAGTGTTGGTTTTAGGCAATGCTTTTTTTTCTAGGAAAAATAGGTGCTGGTACTCACCATGAAGTTGTTAACAGTAAGTGTCACAGTAAGTTTGAGTACTTTCAAAGCTAACAAATGTGCACCTCACTCTTCCTTGTCCCACCTGGTTAGCTTCAGCTTCGTTAACAGTGCTGAGCATTTATTTTTTTAAAAATTTGTGGGACCTTTCAGCTCATGCTGAAAAACTTGTCTTACTCCTTTTAAGGTTTTACAATCAGTTTTCATTATTATGGTGTGTGTGTGCCCCCCCCCCGTGTATACACACACACACACACACACACACACATTCTATATATACACAGGTACAGAAAGTGTTGCTCCTGGCGTAAAAGATGTCCAAAACCCAGCCAACCCACTTCCGGATCTGTCACTTCCATGTTACAGTCGGTGATCACACAGACGGAGCCTCGCTTTGCAATGTTTGGGCCTGTGTTGGAAGTGCTAGACGACTCTTTGCTGTACAGAATGGCGGTGTGTCCGGAGATTTGGCCGCTGGCTGGTTTTCCTTCTGGACAATTGCATGGTAACATGATTTCTTTATCTTAAGCAAGCAAACAGAAAGGGCAATGGTGAACATTTGAAGCCTCCTTATTCTGAGTGGGATATTTTCTAACCCAGCTACAGAACGCAGTTTAACTGGAGGCAGAGTGGGGCCAGCCCTACCATTAGACAGAAAGAGAAGAAACAGCTTTTCAAAAATATATAGTACTTATCTAGTAGTACTATATTGTTTATGAGGGACAATGAGTCAGTGGCAGAACAGAGGCTCTGTGTATTCCAATTATTATTATTATTATTATTATTATTATTATTATTATTATTATTTATTTCTACCCTGCCCATCTGGCTAGGCTTCCCCAACCACTCTGGGCGGCTTTCAACAGAACATTAAAAACAGAATAAAATTTCAAACATTAAAAACCTCCTTAAACTTCCCTTCAGATGCCTTCTAAAAGTCAGATGTTGTTTATTTCCTTGACATCTGGTGGGAGGGCATTCCACAGGGTGGGCGCCACTACCAAGAAGGCCCTGTAATCTCACTTCTCACAGTGCGGGAACTGCCAGAAAGCCCCGGCGCTGGACCTCAGTGTCCGGGCTGAACGATGGAGGTGGAGACGTTCCTTCAGGTATACTGGGCTGACACCGTTTAGGGCTTTAAAGGTCAGCACCAACACTTTGAATTGTGCTTGGAAATGTACTGGGAGCCAATGTAGGTCTTTCAGGACTGGTGTTATATGGTCTCGGTGGCCACTCCCAGTCACCAGTCTAGCAGCCGCATTCTGGATTAGTTGCAGTTTCTGGGTCACCTTCAAAGGTGGCCCCACGTAGAGCGTGTTGCAGTAGTCCAAACGGGAGATAACAGGAGCATGCACCACTCTGGCAAGACAGTCCGCAGGCAGGTAGGGTCTCAGCCTGCGTACCAGATGGAGCTGGTAGACAGCTGCCCTGGGCACAGAATTGACCTGCACCTCCATGGACAGCTGTGAGTCCAAAATGACTCCCAGGCTGCACACCTGGTCCTTCAGGGGCACAGTTACCCCATTCAGGACCAGGGAGTCCCCCCCACCTGCCCGCCCCCTGTCCCCCCATAACAGTATTTCTGTCTTGTCAGGATTCAACCTCAATCTGTTAGCTGCCATTTATAATCTAAGAACTTAGAAGGATGTGGGACGCGAGTGGCGCTGTGGTCTAAACCACTGAGCCTAGGGCTTGCCGATCGGAAGGTCAGTGGTTCGAATCCCCGCGACCGGGTGAGCTCCCGTTGCTCGGTCCCTGCTCCTGCCAACCTAGCAGTTCGAAAGCACGTCAAAGTGCAAGTAGATAAATAGGTACCACTCTGGCGGGAAGGTAAACAGCGTTTCTGTGCGCTGCTCTGGTTTCGCCAGAAGCGGCTTAGTCATGCCACATGACCCGGAAAAACTGTCTGTGGACAAAACGTCTGCTCCCTCGGCCAGTAAAACAAGATGAGCGCCTCAACCCCAGAGTCGTTTGCGACTGGACTTAACTGTCAGGGGTCCTTTACCTTTTTAAGAACTTGTCAGTTTTAAACAGGTCTCAAATACTTCACCTTTCTTTTCTTCTTTCCTTGTCTCAAACAGGGATAGAATTAGGAGTCACATATCATTTGAATGGCCAGAAATTCAATATTACACTGTGTACAGAAACCATGTAAGTGTTATCTGAGGTGTTTTTTCGCTTGCTTGCTTCCCCACCCCTTCAAGTAACAGTATTCCAATGGTGATAGGATTATCCCCAAATAAGAAAATTCTAGATCTCCATCATCATGCCAATGCATGTGGGAATTTTCTAATAGTAATAGGATTGTCTGAAGATGAGAGCAAGCCCGTTTCAAGAAGTCAGACCTCACCTGGAGTACTGTGTCCAGTTCTGGGCACCACAGTTCAAGAAGGACACTGACAAACTGGAACGTGTCCAGACGAGGGCAACCAAAATGGTCAAAGGCCTGGAAACGATGCCTTATGAGGAACGGCTAAGGGAGCTGGGCATGTTTAGCCTGGAGAAGAGGAGGTTAAGGGATGATATGATAGCCATGTTCAAATATATAAAAGGATGTCATATAGAGGAGGGAGAAAGGTTGTTTTCTGCTGCTCTAGAGAAGCGGACACGGAGCAATGGATCCAAACTACAAGAAAGAAGATTCCACCTAAACATTAGGAAGAACTTCCTGACAGTAAGAGCTGTTCGACAGTGGAATTTGCTACCAAGGAGTGTGGTGGAGTCTCCTTCTTTGGAGGTCTTTAAGCAGAGGCTTGACAACCATATGTCAGGAGTGCTCTGATGGTGTTTCCTGCTTGGCAGGGGGTTGGACTCGATGGCCCTTGTGGTCTATTCCAAGTCTATGATTCCTAAGTGCTCATTCTGTGCATGTTTCTTTCAAGGAAATGTTTGGCCATAGTCTGGGACATGGCCTAATTTGCTCAGTTCACTCAGGAATTGGGGGACCTAGATTACTAGGAGCCAGAGTAGACCTGTGAATTGTTCGTTTGCTTGAACTGCCTGGCCTAGATGTGTACAAAAGACAACACTGTTCTTTCTTAAGGCACTAGTCCTCAACACCTTCAGTTCTGCATAGTTTCTCCCTTCCTTACTGCACAGTATCTGGAAAAAAACAAACTGGTTTCTCTCCTCTCTTTCCAGTGAGGAAAGTCTCACAGAAAAGGAAGAGAACACCAGTCCTGTCAACAAGGTGTTCTCTGCGGAGTCCGGTGTTGATGGGAAAATGCATTACAGTCTGAACAAACATTTAAAAAACGTGTGCAGACTAATGGATGGGTTCATCTATCTGGCATATGCTGACACTCATGAAAGTAAGGAGCTTTGCGCCATATGGGTCAAAAAGGAATAATTATGTGGCTATACAACCCAGTAGGGTCTAAGAATGGGGGAATCTGTTGTATTTTCTATTGTTTGCTGTCTGCATGTGCTTTATACCAACAAAAACATTTTAAAACTTAAGATAAATAAATGTAAGGGCTTCTGAATGATGCCAACATAGCTTTTAGCGTACAGCTGGCAGAGGGTGGCAAATCCTTTATCTCCCTCACTCTCTTTTTGCAGGACACAACCGTCAACTTGAATTTGACTGGCTGGCAGCGATGCTTGACCCAGACCTTGGCCCTACAGATAGGCCTCTGCTTGTTCTGTCCTGCGTTTCCTGTGCTGAGATCGAAAGGATTCCTTGTGTTTACATGGCGCATCAGCTACAGCTGAACCTGCTTGGCACGCGGCCATGGATGGTAGCATTTTCATTTGTTTCATTTGTTTAAGTATCTGGGATCATGAAACTGATTGACAACAGGCTCTAGAAGCACCGCTCCACATCGTGTAATTGAGGCTGCCATCCTATTCTCAGTTATATGGGAGTAATGCCTGTTAGACCAATGGGACTGCCTTCTGAGTATATATGCATAGAATTTCACTGTAGATTACAGAACTGGCCTATACCTTTGATGCCTTTTTCTTTTTTTAAGGGTTGGTCCAAATTCATTGAGATTGTGTCTATAGCAGCCCACAGGCCAGATTTGGCCCACAAGGCCATTTCCCCTACACTGTGCTCACTTGCCCTCACCTGACGCCATCAGGAACAGATAGAGATGCAGCTACTAGCATGCAATTGGGAGCCGTAAGGTGCACCACCATTGCCAAGAGAAAGCAGACTTCCAACACTTACTAAATCAGCAGTGTGAACCCGTTCACCCCACAGGAAATTCGCTCATAGAGGCAATGCCTGCCGAAAACAGTCCTTCATCTCTTTCCCAATGAAGCCGAAGCCTCAAGTGCTTTTATTTTGAGACAGATACTAACATTTGCTTATTCCTGCATTTCACAGGTTCAGGACACTGAAACTTCCACCTTGGATGGACTGGTAGATGGAATTCAGTGGCTACTGGAACAAATCAAATGTAAAAATGCCCAGTAACCAGGCTTGTTTACATTCATTCACATATACATTACTGCATGCCCACTTGTGGCAAAGGAGAATGTCACTATGTCCTTGGGCATGAATGGGGGGATAAATTTCTCCCTGGCACATGTGTGTGTTCACAGTTTCTTCCACTGATGTTTGTCTACTCTGATAAGTTACCACTTGGTAAATGAATACTCAGACCTAATACTCAGACATAAGAATCCCCCACTACAACAACTCTATTGAATTGGGATTCAACTTCACTTTACTGGCCCCCATACAGTCCACCATGGCTTCCAGGTCCAACACCTTCGCAGGCGGAAAAGCACACCCAGTTCAGATGGAATGGGAAAACAGAGCCGTGTGTCATCAACATACTGATAATATACTGATAATATTTTTTATAACAGGCGGCCCTGTTTAGGGAAGTTTTTAATGTCTGATGCTGTATTGTTTTTAATATTCAGTTGGAAGCCACCCAGAGTGGCTGGGGAAACCCAGCCAGATGGGTGGGGTATAAATAATAAATTTTATTATTATTACACTAAAAGGTAAAGGTACCCCTGCCCGTACAGGCCAGTCGTGTCCGACTCTAGGGTTGCATGCTCATCTCGCACTAGAGGCCGTTAGCCGGCGCCGTCCGAAGACACTTCCGGGTCACGTGGCCAGCGTGATGAAGCTGCAGCTGGCGAGCCAGCACCAGCGCAGCACATGAAAACGCTGTTTACCTTCCCGCTATAAAGCGGTACCTATTTATCTACTTGCACTTAAGAGTGCTTTCGAACTGCTAGGTGGGCAGGAGCTGGGACCGAACGACGGGAGCTCACCCCGCTGCGGGGATTCGAATCGCCGACCATACGATCGGCAAGTCCTAGGCACTGAGGTTTTACCCACAGCGCCACCCGCGTCCCATTATTACACTATGCTGTTTCAAAATTCATAAACAGAAGACATGCAATATGTGCATGGAGTCAGAAACGAATAAGAATCAAATAAATGTTCAATGAACATGAATGGTAGGAGTGGTAAGTCACTGTCAAAAGATTACTGAAATGGAGGCAGAATACCACAGTCAATATCCTACAAACGTGAGATGATGGGTGCTCCAAATGTCTCAATAGGGTGCTCCAAGCACAGCAGCAGACAGTATAGTTCTTCCAGGATAATGAACTGTTTCAATGATAACAGCTAACAATAATATGAAATGAAAACCATTACATTCAAATACAGTCCGTGAAAGAAATGACAGGCCTGCATGTTAACCAACCAATAATAAATACATACCAAATTAATAGTCCCCAAAGGTACATCAGATGGCCATGGATCAGCTATCACTAAAAAGTGTAGTAAACTGATAATGAAACAGACTGAAGAGAGTCTTGATCACCTGCTTTCTCCAGGGGCACCTACAAGTCAGCTCCGAACTCTCCTGCCTGTGTCTAGTTGAGGTCTGTGTTTAGCCCTAGTCTTTATGACAAGCCCTCTAGATGTACCTCAATCCAACCAGCTTAATCATTCACACATAGCAGCTCCTTTGCCAGGCGAGCTCTTGATTGATGTCAGGAGAACAAGGCTGGGAACATATCTGTTGAAGGCTTTCAAACTGGCGAAAGGTTTTGTGACTGCAGTTATAGTACTGCAATGTGTTCAGCAAATCTAGAGTTTGTTGCAGAGATTGCTGTATTGAGCAGGGCAGGACTGGATCAAGGCGTTTTTCCGCCTGAAGCACTTTCCTGCCTTTTCCTGAGAATCCTTAAGGACAGTATCACCATGCAGCTTATATATAGAGTGTAACACGTACAGTGTGTTACATGAACAGAGTAGAAATAATCCTTTGAATATTGTATTACAGTCCAGAAAATCCTGTTCTTGAAGGTTTTATCAGACATGAATTGGCATGTTTGTTGTCAGCTGCTAAGAGGATTCTGCTTATAACAGTGCTACTGTCTTAGCTTCAATCTCATCATCTTGTTATGTACTCTTCATGTAGCGATTTCCCCTGCTAATAGTAAAGAAACCAGGGATGATCGGATATGGCTGTTGTCACAGATCATCTGTGACTAGCACTGCAAGGAGCAGAGTGCAGTGGTACCTTGGTTTAAGAACAGCTTAGTTTATGAACAGCTTGGATTAAGAACGCTGCAAACCCGGAAGCAGGTGTTTCGGTTTGCGAACTTTGCCTTGGAAGAAGAACACGTTTCACTTCCTGTTGAGTGTGTTCCATTTGTAAATTGAGTCCCCCGCTGCTATGGGAACGCACACCTTGGTTTAAGAATGCTTTGGTTTAAGAACGGACTTCCGGAACGGATTAAGTTCGTAAACCAAGGTACCACTGTAGTTATATTTATATCCTGGCTGCCGTCCAAGGAGCATAAGGCTGTACACATGGTTATCTCCCCTTTCCTTTATCTTCACAACAACCTTGGGAGGTAGGTTGTGCTGAGAGATGGTGTCTGACCCATGATCACCCAATTAAGATCACAGCTAAATGGAGTTGTGAATGTGAATCTCCCGTAACCCAGCACTAACCAAATGAAAGGCTGTCCTGGACAATGCAATACAAAATATATGCAACATGCCAGAGACACATTCATGTAACTGGGCACAAAAACCTCTTCCATTGTTTTCAGAAAGTGCAGCTAGTAGGGTAGCATATATAATAAATTTAATTTGTTATTTTCCCCATTCTATTGACTTTTGTGCGTATTCTTTGGTTGGAAGGCTGTGTCACAAAACTGGGATCAATAAGAGTTTCAAAGGATAGCTGTGTTCCGGTTCAAGAAGTGCAGATCAGGTAGCTTCTTATTAAAAAAAACAACACAAAATCAATTTACTCCTCCTACTCTACTTGGAATCCCTTTTGAGCCATGATTCTCCATGGGTGACCTTGTGTAACTAATGATTTCTTTGTCTAAGCAACCAAATTAGGTGGTAGTAGTTCAAATAAAATGAATTGAACATGCACTGCAATTCATCCTTGCAACATGGCAGGAAAAGAAAAGTAGGAATAAAAATAAAATGTGTGCTCCATCCGAGGAGATGAATTTGGGAAAGTTCTCATGACTATTCATTCCTTTAACACTGTGTTTTTCTTGGATTGTTTCCAATACTGCTATGACCAGTTAGTGTTCTAATGGTTTTGATTAAGGTTTAAGAAAATTAAGACTAGTGTCGGTAATGATTAACTTGCAACAGGTTTAACTTAGTTCCTTCCATCACATTAACTCTGGCAAATTATCCCTGTTCAGCATAAGAAGTTCCAAACTCCAGCTACTGTTCCCTGCAAAATGTATGATATTTGGTTTGTTTTTGCTGGCCAGTGTTACTCAAATAAAACTCAAAATGGTAGTGGAAAATCCACGTCAAACGTACTGTACATTGTGGAATGGCAAGGATGGGAGTATGTGTGTTCAGTAGTACAGTATGCACTTAATTTTTAAAAGGCAAATATGATATCTACATCTAATTTAATTTGCAGCTGTATGTAGAAAAAGAAAGCTAGAAAATTTGATTAATTTGATTTTTTAAAGTAAAAAAATCAGTTCATCATATATATCCCAATTCTTTTTATAACATTGTATATTCATTCTCCATCTCTTTAATTCCTATTTTTCTTCCAATGTATTGCATCACTGAATCTCCACTGCCAGCAAACATTAAGAACATAGATGAGTAGATAGGGTATTTCCACGGATAATACAAAAAACTAGGAAGAAGTTCAAAAATGTTAGAATATAGGATCAAATTTAAAAACAATATCAGTCTACAAAAGCTGGTCAGATTGCTGAGCAGCACAGAATCAGATGTGTGAGTACATAACTATGCAGTCAACTATAAAGAAGATATTAAATTCATAACCAGGTCCACTGTGTAACAGGCTCAAGGGTCTTATCCTACATTAGCTGGTTGTAATCACAGACTCATAGGACCCTGAGGATCATCCAGTCCAACCCGCTGCAATGCAGGAATATGCAGCTATCCCTTATGGGCATCAAACCTGCAACCTTGGTGTTACCAGCACCATGCTCTAACCAAGTGAGCTATCCCCAGCTTAGGTAAGTCAATACTCATTTGTCCCGTGTTTCAGGAGTTACAATATCCATACTGCCCACCTCCAACCAGTGGCGGAACAAGCCGATCAGGCGCCGGGGCGGTGCGCATGCCCTGCACCCAGGGGTGAGGCCAGCCAGGGCAGGACGCTCCGTGGAGCCTCCAAGGAGTCTGGCTGTCTCCTCCCACTCAGCCGCCCTACATCTGGGGGGGGGGGAGGCAGCGGGTGAATTTTTGGGCAGCAGGAAGCCTGTGCGCGCCCAAGCCACCGCGTCACTCCCAGGAGAGATGCATGGGTCAGGCGCGCTGCAGGCCCTGTGGTGATTGTAACTTAGAAATCAGCCCTGAGTGCTCACTGGAAGGACAGATCGTGAAGCTGAGGCTCCAATACTTTGGCCACCTCATGAGAAGAGAAGACTCCCTGGAAAAGACCCTGATGTTGGGAAAGACTGAGGGCACAAGGAGAAGGGGATGACAGAGGACGAGATGGTTGGACAGTGTTCTCGAAGCTACTATCGTGAGTTTGACCAAACTGCGGGAGGCGGTGGAGGACAGGGGTGCCTGGCATGCTCTGGTCCATGGGGTCACGAAGAGTTGGACACGACTAAACAACAACAACAATATGCATTGGCAGCTAAGAAGATCAGGAGAAAAGAACTAGATAAAATAGCAGTCAATTGCAAAGGTGATTTGGATATTTAACCTGGCACATTCTACCTGAGAATTCCTTGCTATTCTATCGTATGCAACAAATAATTCTTAGGAGATGTGATCGTGGTTTATTGCATCTGCAGTGCCTGATGTCTTTATGGTTATTGTTGCTTTTCTTTTTGTTCCCTTTGTGAATGATGCCATGGCCTTTGGCTAGTGAAATAAAGATGATGATGATGATGATGATGATGAGTGCCGCCCGGCATTTTGTCACCCCCCCTCAGTAGTGACACCTGGGGTGACCCGCCCCCACTGCACTCCCCTTCCTCTGCCCATGCCTCCCAATAGCCATACTGAAGCTGCAAAAGAGGGGCTTGCTAAGGAAATTCATGCCAGAGGCTGAATTCAAACCAGGGGCTTCCTGATTCATAACTCTTAGCTGCTAAACTGCACTGATCTGACTAAAAAACTGAAAGGTGCCACAACTACGGCATGCCTGATATTTGGGAAACAGTTTTATCAGCCACTGTAGATGCTCGCTCTCATGTTTCATTTGTGCGTATTGTTGTTTAGCCATAAAAAGTACCATTAGAAGGAGCCATGCAATGACTATGCATAACGTGCATTAATTCAATTGCTCCATTGCACTGGCATATTTAAACCCTGAAACCCAAACCCTAATATTCATTTGACTCCTGCTTTTCCTGAAAAATGACACCATGACATATGACTGCAGGGTTCAAATGCTAACTTCAGGCTGTCAGATGTCTGTTGCTGACTTAGAAGCTGACTGCTCTAAGCCGGGGACGGACACATCTTTCATTTTTGGGCCCTGTTCTGTTCTGCCTGAGTGACAGAAGGGTATTCTGCTGCAAAGCTGATCGGACTCCGTGATAAAATATGTTATGTACTGAAGTTCTCACCCTGGGCCAGCAAACAAAATATGTGTTCCCCAGCTCTAGGGGTGCTTCACAGTGATTGAACACATTTATTTGGACATAGCAGGGAGATTAAACACAGAGAAATCCAATGTAAAACTGCACAAAAGAGGTCTTTTGCACATACAACTTCTGGCAGGCTAAACTTCAAGAGATTCTCAGAGGACAGACCATCACTAGGTAACTTTAATCAAGGGGTGGAAAGGGGTGAAACACCTACCCCGAAAGGGAGATTAGCCCCTTGAAACCCCCCAAACATCAACAAGCTAAAGGGCAGGGATTGTTGCACTACTCTGACAGTGTAGCTCTGTGAGGCTCTAATTCTGAACAAACTACAGTTCCCAGAATTCTGGGGAGCAGAGACTCTTAAAGTGGTACCATAGTGCTTTCAATGTATGGTGCAAAAGGAGATACGGTATGTTCTTATTTCACAACCTCACTAGGAAGCATATTCCAGGGCAGAATAGTTACATAAAGGTCTGATTTCTTTGTTGTTTTAATGCAATCTGCAGGAACAAATGGAAGTTATGATTTCTGAGAGCAGATTTTGCTGAGTTTGCATGACAAAGCGGAACAAAGCCAACTGTACAGGAAAAGCCAAAAACTTCACTGCTTTTAGCTGAGGTTTGATATGCAGAAATCAGGAGTAAAAAATTTCATAGGATGCAGGTAAAATGAAAACCTGCTAATCTCTGCAGAAATAAAAGTGCTGCTACAGGGAGCAGCTACAGGGGCCAGTTCACAAGCAGGCAACCCAAAAAAACAAACCACAAGGATCCATTAAAATCCACTCCTTAATTTTATTTTGTCTTTGGAAGTTCGCCCTATCACTTTACAACCAATTTACTCAGAAATTAGCGCCACTGGTTTCATTGGATCTTACATCCCAGTCATCGCAGCGTGTACTCGGAAGTCTTACTGAGCCTAATATGACTTTTCCCAAGTAAACTATGTCTGATCTTTTGCATCCTTAGTCGTCCTTGGCCTGCTTTATTGAGTGAAAGCTCCATTCGTTTTTGCTCTGTAGTATTTAAGCCTATATTAAGTTTTTTTCTTTGTATCACTGAATTCATTCTGTATTTGCTAAATGGATGATTTTCGTTATTTCGAATTTACTGACATGATCTGCATTTTGTATTCCCAGGGTGCTCCGTTGTGCCGTTCCGAAAGTTTGCTGCGAGGTGCTCTGAGCGCAGCTCCTTGTGGAAAAGCGGCAGATAAGTCAAATCAACTAAACAACCAAAACATTCGGCTCGGTCGGGGGCATCATTAGTACAATTGTATATTTATTAAATTTGTATGCCATCCTTCGTCCGAAGATCTCAGAATAAAACCACATAACGAAAACAAGAGGAACACCAAACCAAACACGCCCCCTCCATCCTAGAAACACGTTTAAAAGGACACAGTCTGCTAATCTGTAAGGGCGCCGTTCCTGGGAGCAAGCGCCACGGAGCACAGAGCGCGCCCTGTTGCATCTCCAACTCCCAGGCCAAGAGGCGCCTCGGCGCCTCCTCCAAGGAGCCGGTGCATTCCTCCAGCCTCCCGCTTGGTCTCACAATGGGTTAAAGACGACGTCAGACGCCGAGCCCCCAACCCTCCCCCAGCTTCGCATCCCATTTGACAGGCGCGCCCTGCTCTCTCTTTTTTCCCCCGGCAGCCTCGCGCCGAGGGGGTTGGGCATCAGCCGCCGCCACCGCCTCCTCCTCTTCTCCTTCTCCAAGGCCGCTGCTCGCCCCGGCTCCTTCCTGCTCGCCTTGCACGCCGCGAAGCGCACGAAGATGGCGGCTCAGAGCCTCCTGGCCCGCTTTGCTCGCTGCCTGCCCGGCTCCGGCACGGCGCAGCTCCTCCGTCGAGCCCCGGCCAAGGTAAGCAAGCGCGCGGCGATGGTTGCAGGGGGCCCTTCTGCGGCGGCTTGGTGCGCGCTTACTCGCAAGGAAGCCTTTGCAGCCTCTGCAACTTGGACCGGCTCGCCGGCGCAGCTTGAGCCTTAGCAGGAGATCGGGTTTCGCTCCATGTGATGCAAAAATCCTCCCCTACGAAGGCGCAAGAGCAGGCCAGGCTGCTTCTCTCCGCCACCTGCCCCACATTTTTCTCCTGGCCACTGGGCAACTTTTCGCCCCCTTCCCCCCTAAACAGCAACGCGTCCCACTGACATTTCCATGCCCTCTTGCTCTCTAATCCGCTTGCCGGCCTCCTGGCTACCTTCCCTTTGGCCCCTGGCCGGCTCTGAACCGTGGATGAACCTCCTGCTCGCCCTTCCCTTCAAGGCTCGTTGCGCGCGAAGGTTCCCTTGCAAAGGCGGAAAAATTCCCCCGCGACGCGCGGCAGAAGGAGCGGCGCGCCTCTCTCCTTGCGCCCCTGGGCTGACCAGGCCGGAGGGGATCCCTACCTGCTGAGCGCGCGTCCTTCAGCGGAACAGAGGCGCCTGTTTGTTTAGCTGACCTTGAGGAAGAAGGAAGGGAGCGAGCTTCGCTTGCAGGCCCGCTCTCTGTCCCTTTCTGTCCCCATCCCCAGGGGCCTGGCTGGCTAAGTGACTTAGGATAGGATCAGGCTGGCTGGCGGTAAGACAGGCCTAGCCAGAGGTCTTCTTGCATCTTTCATTAAGGCGTTCCCTTAAGTCTCTTGGAAGATGTGGAAACACAGAAACAGGTACATTCCAAATAGAACTTGTATAGTCAGGTGGGGCCAGGATTTATGTTGGGGGTGGGGTGGGGGTGGCAGGACACCCACCTGTCATCACCCTCTGTCTGACTGCCTAGCCGATTTGGAATGAAATGTCTCAACAACAGTTGTTTTAAAATACTTTCTTTTGACCCCAAGTGCTGGGGGGGGGGAAACACCTGTCAAAATCTTTCTACAATTTCTGCTTTTAGTTAAGTGTTTTTATTTATTTCCTTGGCTACGCCCACCCCTCCACGCCCTTCAAGAAAAGTCCCCCTAAATAAAACTGGAAAAAACTAAATTAAAAAAGTTTTAAAGAAAGCAGTGAAATTCTAATACGGTATATATATTTTTTAGAACGTTTGCTCCCCGGGGCTGATGGGAATCAAAGTCCTAAACATTCGTTTATTTGTTGCATTTATATCCTGCCTTTTCTGCAAGGAGCTCAAGGTGGTGTATATGGTACTCTCTCCTCATTTAACCCCCCAAAGGGAATCTGGAGAGGGGGCCTGGTTGGCAAAGGCTGGTCTAGGCTAACTGGCTGTGTTTCTGGTCTGGACTGTGCCAGCCCTACCTAGAGACTGAATCTGGTACGTTTTGCATGCAAAACAGATGCTACCTTTTGAATAAGAACATAAGACAAGCCTGCTGGATCAGGCCCATTCAGTCTAGCATCCTCTTCCCACTGACTGGATGCCAGTGGGACATGAGCGGAACAAGTGGTATTCAGAGGCCCGATTCGAGCAGAGGCAGAACAGAGGATAGCCTTGTCTTGTCTAATCAGTGCCAGAATTAGTGGGATGCAGCTAGTTCCCTTGCCCAGGGTGCCAAGCCGAGGGGGCGCAAAACAACAACCACAACCCTATATTTATATGGGTACCTACTGAGAAGATCCACAAGAAAGCAACTGTACTAAAGACAATACAGTGGTACCTCAGGTTACATACACTTCAGGTTACAGACTCCGCTAACCCAGAAATATTACCTCGGGTTAAGAACTTTGCTTCAGGATGAGAACAGAAATCGTGTGGCGGCAGCAGGAGGCCCCATTAGCTAAAGTGGTGCTTCAGGTTAAGAACAGTTTCAGGTTAAGAACAGACCTCCAGAATGAATTAAGTTGTTAACCTGAGGTACCACTGTATTGTGAAAATAAGCAATGCTTTTTTGTCCTTGCTCAGGGCGCCGTATTTATTACCAAAGTCCGCCCCTGGTCTAATCCTCTTCTAAAGCAATCCAACTTGGTGGCTACCATTGCCTCTTGTGAGAGCAAGTTCCATGGCTCTGGTTCTAGTCTCCTGCTTTGGGAAGGAAGACAGGGTGTGTCACTGGGGAGGGAAGCAATAGCATAGGCTTAGCTCTGTTGTGCCATAGACTCAGGCCCTCTGGGCTCTTCTGCTCTTGTCTAGAAGTGCCACAACTTTCAGCTGTCTTCGCTGGAGGTTGGGCATCCCTGTTCTGCAAGTGAGCATGTAATCCTGTGCTGGTACCTAGCAATCTCTTGTTTATTGGGACGCTGCTTCAGGTGTTCTTCCCTGCTCTAGATTTCCTGACAAGGCAATGGAAACCTTGTAGGCCAGATTTAATGTCACACCAGTAGATGCCCCAGAATTCCCCTCCCTCCCGCCTCATTCTGTTCTTGGAGGATTCCTCAGAGGAAGGTTAAGTAGAAGTCCTTCATTGGATCCCACAATTCAGTGTCACCCAGTGTTTTAACATGCTGGACACAACTTTTCTCAATGTGCATAATATTGGCTCACAAAGTTTCCATATGCAGAAATTTGGACTGCTCCTCCAGTATAAATTGGAGACTAGCTGTAGCTCTGTGTCAAAGGATAAATGACTTTGACCTAGTCGGCACACTTTGACTGGCTGAGAGATGTGTCCTTGTTGGAGAAAGGGTTGCTTGGGGTTTCTGTTGTTGTGCCAGTGTTGATGAAGCATAGCATGTGACTTTCCATGCTGGGGAGAATTGTTGGCTGGTTCTTCTTAAAGTATCTTGTGCAGAAGGCTGTCAGAAGCGTCTGGTTAAGAAATCCTGAGTGCTCCATTGCTCATTATTTCTGGGCTTTAATAGTAAGGAAAATGAGTTCCTCCCCCCTCCTATTTCATGTCTGCTTAATAATCTGATTACAAATAGGACATAATTTTACATATTTGGTCAGGCCAGGAGACATCTCAGATTTTTGTAAATAGGTAAAGAGTAGTGGAGATGTCATAGGATTGCATGGAGGATGTGTTGTTGTTGTTAACCAAATTTACTCCTAGCTACAAAACAGGATTGGACCCTCTGGGCCAACCACTTCTTGCAGGGAAGTAACACGTAGAGCCAAACCAAGCTGGATTGAAGTCCTGCCAATCAGTTGATATCACATGCCCATTGGGTGATGTCACTTGATTGACCATGGTTTTAGAAAAATGGCCTCAGAGCCCAAAATGGAATCCCTGCTGGGCCAAACTGGCCCATGGATTGGAAGTTCCCCACCTTGCTGTATCAGAATGCAGCCTAAGACTACATTTCTAAGATCATTTATTAGGGAGTACTGTATGTTTCAAGGGACGCGGGTGGCGCTGTGGGTTAAGCCACAGAGCCTAGGACTTGCTGATCAGAAGGTCGGTGGTTCGAATCCCTGCAACAGGTTGAGCTCCCATTGCTTGGTCCCTGCTCCGGCCAACCTAGCAGTTCAAAAGCACATCAAAGTGCAAGTAGATAAATAGGTACCGCTCCGGTGGGAAGGTAAACAGCGTTTCCGTGCGCTGCTCCGGTTCGCCAGAAGCGGCTTAGTTATGCTGGCCATGTGACCCGGAAGCTGTACGCCGGCTCCCTCGGCCAGTAAAGCGAGATGAGCGCTGCAACCCCAGAGTCGGTCACTACTGGACCTAATGGTCAGGGGTCCCTTTACCTTTACCTTACTGTATGTTTCATAGAATTCAGTAGAACCTGCTGCTGACTAAATATACTTGCACTGCCAGGAATCTGGTTTATTAAGAGGTTTACCTGGAGTTGCCATTTAGAAACACCCACAAGGTGACTGACACGTAGTTGAAATTCCAATAGAAAGGGTTTTAACTGCAATAGAATCAACATCTTACTGTGTTGTCTTAGTTACAGATAGGTAGCCGTGTTGGTCTGCCATAGTCAAAACAAAAAAAATTCCTTCCAGTAGCACCTTAAAGACCAACTAAGTTAGTTCTTGGTATGAGCTTTCGTGTGCATGCACACTTCTTCAGATACGAAGAAGTTGTCTTAGCTATGTCTACTCAGAGGTACTGTAAGTCCTGTTGAATTGAATGGAGCTTACTTCCAGGTAAGTAGGGTTATGATTGCAGCCTTAGAACCTTGGATAACTTAAGACTTTGTGTTGTTTACTCAGATGGCAAAATTATTTTCAAAAATAATAAAGAATTGTAAATAAATTTTAAATAGGAACAATTGTATGTCATTTTACAATACAGTATATGTTAGTATGACTAGACAGATCCTTGTTTATTTAAAAAATATTTATATATTGTTCTTTATAAGATATACCACATTAGTTTTACTATTTAAAATAAAACACTCAGCCTTGAAGTTCACTGAGTCACCTTGGGCCAGTCACTAACCTACCCCCACAGGGTTGTTATTCTATGAGGATAAAATGGGGAGGGGGGGAACAAAGTATGACACCTTGAGCTCCTTTGAAGAAAGATAGGATATGAATGGAATTTATAAAATAAAATAAAATAATAAAATAAAATCCATAAGTATCCATGTCTGCAGAATCAGAATGAAATTTAATGGCTTCAATGGAATTTACGTCCTACAGGATTTTAGCCTGTGATCTGTGGCAATTGCTTCTAAGTTAGTCTTTTTAGGATTGGAGCATAAAGTTTCTTAACTCTGATTCTGCAAGCTTGTGAAGCTCAGGCAATTTGTTGAAATCTGAAATATACTCACCCTTGCCCTAGTTGCATGTCTAGAGAAAATACATTTCCTAGGAGTTGCTTAAGATAGCAGTACTGTCTGTTCAGACACTGTTTTCTTTAATTAAAAATGTGACCAGACATATCGAGGACAGACCCCATAAATGTGGTTTTGGAAATTCAAGTTTACAATATGTTAATTGCTTAAGAGTATTGGTATTTGTAATAATACCCTTACTTCCAAGCTGCAAGGAATAAACAAAGAATTTAAATCTTTCCCCTACTGTCCTTCACCTAAATACAGTATTTGCTAAAGTGATTCAGAGCTCATATTATGCAGAGCATGGCTGGAACTGCAGTTCCTTCTGATGTTTCAGGGTGCATTGCCTCAAAACTTTCAAGCACAGTGGCTAGAAATTTGCTCTTTTAAAAAGGAAGGAAAGCAAGCAAGCAGAGATTATTGGGAAATTCAGCATCACATTTATTTTATTATTTCTGGTTGTATAAAATGGCAGCATACAGTGGTACCTCAGGTTAAGTACTTGATTCGTTCCAGAGGTCCGTTCTTAACCTGAAACTGTTCTTAACCTGAAGACCACTTTAGCTAATGGGGCTCCTACTGCTGCCGTGCCGCCAGAGCATGATTTCTGTTCTCATCCTGAAGCAAAGTTCTTAACCTGAAGCACTATTTCTGGGTGAGCGGAGTCTGTAACCTGAAGCGTATGTAACCTCAGGTACCACTATACATGTCGTTTTGACCATGGTGACGTACACCCTTCAAATCTAGTGTTACCCATGAGCCTCTAGCATGCATTCTTTGCACTTTCTGATCAGCACAAATTCCTTGTGCATGTCTTTCTAAAAACTGCTGGTGGGATACCCTTTGTTACTGCGAATGAACACCTAAGGTTATACTTTGACGCTGTCTCCCCTTTGTTTCTTCTACTCTTTCTAGAGCTGTGGCTGCTATTTTTCAACAAGCAGCTGCCACAATACCCAGTTTTATAATGATCCGGTGGAAGCAATAAAAGACATACCCAATGGGGCCACTCTCCTCGTTGGTGGTAAGTACTTGGAATCTTCTTGTTCATCGCCAAATGAATTACTTGCTCAGTTCTATAAATTGGAAACATTTCTGCCACTCCATTAACATAAATGAACATAATACAGTGGTACCTTGGTTCCCAAACTCAATCCATTCTGGAAGTCTGCTTGACTACCAAAATGTTTACAAACCAAGGCGTGGCTTCTGATTGGTGCCGGAAACAATGCCGACAGCCAAAACGGACATTTGGCTTCCAAAAAACATTTGCAAGCCAGAACACTTACCTCCAGGTTTGCAATGTTCGGGAGCCAATTTGTTTGGGAGCCAAGCCATTCGGGACCCAAGGTACCACTGTAAAGGATTTCTAGGCAGTTGGTAAAATGGGGGAAAGGTTAGTGGTAGAACAGCTGGTTTGCATGCAGAAAACCAAGGTTCAAACCCTGGAGAGCCTCTGCCAGTCAGTGCTGGTAATCCCATACAGCTTCCTATGTTCCTGTGTAATAGGATTTAACCTGATTCCTTTTCCCTTGCAGTCTTCTATAGAAGCCTTCTCCAAACTTGGGTCCCCACAAATTGTTGGACTGCAATCCTCATCATCCCTAGCCAGATTGGCCAAGGATGATTGGAGGCCAACAACCATCTGGGCACTCAAGGTTGGACAAGGAGTAGAGCTGGGCTTCCCAGCCCCATGCCCAACCTTTGGGTGCCTTGGGGTTCTGCCCCATATGTATTTGGCCAAAGGTCTGGAAGGAACCTCTGCATACATGGGTTCACTGCACAACTTTGAATCCGATTAAACTGGGTTCTGACCTTGTGGAGCGGCTACATGCCTATGTCAACAGAGGCCCTTTTAGGACCTTCTGCCAATTGTGTGAAGATCATGGGGTACAGACAGTGGGTGTGGAACTGCTTCCCTTCCGCACATTCAATATGCATGTGATTTAGAAGATGAGAAAAAGGGCTTCCACTTTGATTGGACCAGGAAGTTGGGCTTCTGCCTCTGAATAGGAGCTGCTACCATCATTGCCTTCAAGGAACCAGCCTAGGAGACACACCTAGTGCTTTAGAGCCGCAAAAAACACCTGTGCCTACTCAGACTTATTGTCTTCAGTGGGTTTGTGTATCTATGGGCTTTTCAGGGATGGTGTTAAAATGATGGGGAAGCAAGCATAAAACACTTTTTACGAGTAACGTTTCTAGGGCAGGGTGAGGGCTTCAGAATGCAGAGTTCTCACGTCAGGGCATTAAAAATACTTAAAGCTGAGAGCTCTTAAGACTATAAAGGGCTGTGGTTTGGTCTCTGCTGACTTCAGAACTGTACCTTTATCACAAGAGAATTGCTCTAGAAGTTGAACAGCCCAGGGCAATAGAAAGATAAGTAAAGGAAGCATTGTGTACGTTGTTTTATTGTTGTGGAGGGAGAGTCGTTATATAGGCCAGTAATTTCACAAAGGGGAGACCAGTGCAGAGTTCAGTTAAGAAGCAATCTGTGTTGGTCTTGCCCACCTGTCAAAGTTAGTCCGCAGAGGTGAGGGAGAATTGAACTGCTGCTTTCTGCAAGTTTGAGCGTTTCCACCCATGGTTTCAGGTGCTAGTTGGGTTTTTTGCCACTTGGCAAACCAGAATACTTAGATTAAATAGGATCCGTGTGTTTTGGGTTGGCTTACTAGTGGGCTGAAATTTGTGGTCTCTATTGGCCCTTCCCATTCCCCATATCTTCTGGGTATGCAAACAAAAATGGGGGTTGTGTTGCCTTTGAAGACCAGCATAATATGGGAGAGACCCCTTCTTCTGGGTTGGAAGGCAGGGTCCATCATGTGCTGCTGAAGAAGGTCCCTGCTTGAGGTGAACGAATGGTTGATGGTGGGTCATTTTTGCAATGGAGATGTTCACTGCTGAATAATTTGTGTTGCATAGGTTTTGGGCTCTGTGGCATCCCTGAGAACCTCATAGGAGCACTGTTGAAGACTGGTGTAAAAGGGATAACCGCTGTCAGTAACAATGCAGGGTATGTGTGCATTTGTTCTTGGAATAGATTTTGTACAAAATCTAATTGGGATTCTCTTTATGCAACTGGTGATGGACCCCAGCCCTTGTATGAGTGAGGAAGCACCCTGGTTTTCCCTCTGGAGGAACCCACATTTCAAAATAGAAGACTGTTTTGGCATAAAGCGATATATACATTTATACAGTGGTGCCTTAGTTCTCAAATTTAATCCGCTCCGGAAGTCCATTCCAAAACCAAAGCGTTCCAAAACCAAGGTACGCTTGGATTAATCCGTTCCAGACTTTTAAAAACAACCCCGAAAACATGAATTTAACATGCATTTTACTATCTAATGAGACCGTTGATCCATAAAATGAAAGCAATAAACAATGTACTGCAGTCACACAATCAATCAGTAAGTAGCTGAACTGGTTTCCACACAGTCACAAAAACAAACAAAAAGGGCCGCAAAATAAATAGCAAAAACAGACAGACTTCAGCGTAACACTCAAAACGGAAGTGTGGCACTCAAAATGGAAGTGTAACACTTGAAACAGAGCACATTCATCTTCCAAAAAAAGTTCGCAAACCGGAACACTTACTTCCAGGTTTGCAGTGTTTGGGTTCCAAGTTGTTTGAGTACCAAGGCGTTTGACAACCAAGCTACCACTGTAATTAATAATAACTTGAAATGATGAGGCTGGTACTATGCTAAATGCATTATATACAAGTGCAATGAGGGCTGAGCTGCCAGTGGCCGCCGTGCTTGGTCACATAAGCAGAGCACCGAGACCTGCATTTTCATTTAAATTAACTTTGTCCCATGTTATCAGTGTTAGCGAGTGTTTACAAAACACCAGAGGGATTTGGATGCTTGGTGTAAAAGACCCGAATCTGGTTAAACATTAATAAATAAATAAGGTTTCCCCTGATACTGCTATTTAGAGTGTAGCTAAATGATAAGATCATGCTGATATCCTCTATAATCAAAACACTTTTAGTCTTTTTTCATTACCCAATTTGAATGTCATTGCTGGAAACTTGACACAGTACTTGGAATACATGAAATGCTCAAGTTTTTTTTGGTGATGCTGAAGAATATATATGCACAAGGTATACATATATCTATATATCTATAGCTATGCACACTGTCTAGAGAACTTTTTGTTATGGGACGTCATGCAAATTGTGGAAACAAAGAAAATAATGTTTGTTGCACCCAGTGTTAATCTTCTGCAGTCCTTTACATATTCCCCCAGTTGTGTGTCAGATCTATTACTTTTCTTTTGACTTCAGTCATATATTTTCTTAATGCGTGTCAAAAGGGGACAAAGGGTATATGGGGCCACAATGACCAATATTGGCTAAGTTCCTGGGCGACCTATTTTAAATTCTGCATCCCTTGATGCTGGCACCAGTTTCAGCATTCCTGAGTGCCTGGCTCAACCACTTGCTTTGCTGCCCTACGCTACACCTGTGAAGAAGCTCACTGAGGCATTTCCCCAGGGCTTGGGTTCCTGGTTTTTGTATGGGGGTTCTTGTTGTTGTTAATTAAATTTGTATACTGGCTGGCAACTTCTTTGGGCTTGTGGGCACATTTGCAGATGAGTGAAATCGGAAAGCACAGGTGCTACAACCACACACACAATCTCTTTTCTCTCTCTCTCTCTCTCTCTCCTCTCATCCTCCTCCTCCTCCTCCTCCTCCTCCTCCTCCTTCTTTCCCCCACCTCCAAAAAATAAGACTGCATGTTGGTTTGCAGCCTCTTTCTATGCAACACTGGCTTGCCTATGGATTTGTTTGCTTTCATTTCACCTCACAACGGCACCCAATTCTCACCTTGAAATAAATGGAAATACATATTCGGACCAGCCCAACTGGTCCTAAATTATTTTAGCATGTTTCACCAGATGTTAACTGTGTGTATTTTTGAACTGACAGTGTCAACCCTACACACTTCAGAACAGCACTTTCTTTTTATAGGGGGAAGGTTACTTCAGCATTCTGGCAAGTCAGACAGTCCCGGTAATAATTCCTAACATACAGAGGCTCTGAATATTCTCACACTGTCGACAGGGTTGTTTGCTATTCAGGCGACAAACGAGGAATGGAAACACGGGAGGGTTTCCAACCCTGAAGTCAGCCACTGCATTGGAACAGTCTGTCATGCAGGAGAGACACAAAGATTAACCTTGGCTTGCAGCCCCTATTAGATGTCATTTAAAATTTATTTATTTATTTATTTGGTTCTTCGAATTATCGCATATCCAACATGCAACATAAAAACAAGATTCTAAAGAATCTCCTGGACTTCCCTCCTCCCCTTTGTGGGTCCTATCGTTAGCCATTCCTTCCTGAATCTTTTATAGTAATCCATCTCCATTAAATCCAAAATTCACCATTAAACTGCAAGTGCTATTCCAATCCTGCTAACAATTTTAACTGTTTAGAATGGTTTTTAAGGTGAATTATAAATTTCCCCCATTCTTTATTAACATTTTGGTCTTCCTGATTTCTGATTCTTCTGGTCATTTTTGCCATTTCAGCATAATCCATCAACTTAGTCTGCATTCTTCTCTGGTCGGGACTTTATTTTCTTTCCAGGCCCTATTAGATGTCATTTGGTAGGCTTGTGTTGTGAGTATTGTGACTGACTGCATGATATCCATAATGTATAACATAAGGAGGAGACCCCTAAAAGCTTGAGGTTTGTCCCTGCCTGTGAGTTAAAATGGTTCATCTCTCTCTGTGTGTGTTTCTGTGGATGGAGGCATGGCTTTGCTTAGGGGCACCGACAACTCTTTAGGAGCATGATTCTGTGATCTTATCGGCTTCCATAAGCTCAGCTTTGCAGCGTTGTCTAATGACCCCTTCCAGCCCTGTTTCCTATCTGATAATTACTGGATGATAATTTCCCTGTAGTTCACATCGGGCAGTTTAAAAGCCTTGGGCAGCATTAAATCTTGCCTATCCTACCCACTCCTGTTCCTGCCATCATTCGCCAAGTCCGTTTCACAATGGACTGAGGACAGTTGTCCCAGTTGGCCATAAAGCAAGTGGCTTATGGTGACTTTTATGACTTTATGGCTTGGAAGGAGCAGAAGTTGGGCATGCAGGAGCCAGCCTTGCAGGATATTTTGCCAGATGGGCCAGTCCTATAACCTAGGAAGAGCAAGAGAGCAAACTGAAAAATTCCATATAATTATTGAATTCTGAATTACAGTGTGTCCTCTATCCAAACTGGTGTCCTAACGCTGTAGAAGATAATACATTCACAATTTCCATTCCTGGCATCCCCAGATTTTTTATTTTTTTTTTGGGGGGGGGGAATAATGCCAGTTGGTGTACACCATTGTTTCCCAAACTTGGGTCTTCAGCTATTTTTTAAAAAACTACAATTCCCATCATCCTTGACCACTGGTCCTGCTAGCTAGGGATGATGGGAGCTGTAGTCCAAAAATGGTTGGAGACCCAAGTTTGGGAAACACTGGTACAGTGGTACCTCGGGTTACATACGCTTCAGGTTACATACGCTTCAGGTTACATACGCTTCAGGTTACAGACTCCGCTAACCCAGAAATAGTACCTCGGGTTAAGAACTTTGCTTCAGGATGAGAACAGAAATTGTGCTCCGGCGGCGCGGCAGCAGCAGCAGGAGGCCCCATTAGCTAAAGTGGTGCTTCAGGTTAAGAACAGTTTCAGGTTAAGAACGGACCTCCAGAACGAATTAAGTACTTAACCCGAGGTACCACTGTATAGACCAAAAGTAAGGAGCCTCAGGACTAGGGTGGGGTGGTGGAGAATGTGACCTTCCAGCCCTCCTTATCTGGACCTCAGGACTCTCACCAGGGCACACCTTCTCTTGCGACTTGACACCAATTACTGTCTTTGCTTCATCCCCTCCTTGATTTTCTTTGCCTTGAACTCTGATCATGAACTCTTGGTCTCCTGATAGAGAGGGGAGAAACTAGCTTAATGAAAGTGATATTTACATTCATTCTCCACCCGCTGTTGACCCTGGCGCTGCCCATCTCTGGCAAGTGGCCCTTGGAAGGTTGTCAGAAGGGGAGGAGGCAAAAAATGGTCCCCCACTCCTAGTAGTCATACCTTGGTTTTCAAACAGCTTTAGTTCTTGAACGTTTTGACTCCTGAACGCTGCAAACCTGGAATGAGTGTTCTGGTTTGCGAACTATTTTTGGAAGCCGAACATCTGATGGGGCTTCTGTGGCTTCCGATTGGCTGTAGGAGTTTCCTGCAGCCAATCAGAAGCCACGCTTTGGTTTGCAAATGTTTTAGAAGTTGAACCGACTTCCGGAAGGGATTCTGTTCGACTTCTGAGGTACGACAGTATAGACAAATGAATTAGGTGCATGGATGTTCTGTCAGCTTCCTTTTGTTACTGGCAAAATGTAAGCACAAACTGATTGCCTCATGGCTGGTCCAGCTGTGCGATACAATTAGTGCCACCTAGTGATGGGCCTTTGCAATTCTGGCACAGAGGCACTTGTGCAGGTTATTACATACAAAACTCAAAGGGTGATGCCAAGTATGGCATATCTATCTTATTCTCACTTTTGGAAGGCGTGTGCCCCAGTGTGGAATTTTCATGATATTCTGTGGCATTCGTTTCGTTGTAACCGTCACCCAACAACTTTTTCTGTGCAGGGTAGACAATTTTGGGCTGGGACTCTTACTCCAAACGAAGCAAATCAAGCGCATGGTGTCGTCCTACGTTGGGGAGAACGCAGAGTTTGAGCGGCAGTATTTATCTGGAGAGCTGGAGGTTGAGCTTACGCCACAGGTAGAACACCTTTCTTAAGGGGCTAAATATCTTTTAAGAAAATGTGTTTCATTATTTAGCTAATGAGTTTATAGATACGCATGCAACACACACACACACACAAACAAAAATGGAATACTAAAACAAGACACTGAGCAGTGCCATCTTAAAATTAACAACAGGAAATGCCTGAACAAATAAATACATTTTTTAACAGGCCTGTAGAACACATCACAGCTGACTCTTGGATTTGGCAGGAGAAGGTGTTCCAGAGAATCGCTGCTTTGGAAAGAGACTGCTTCTGCTTTGTCACCAGATGTCAGCCTGCTAGCTGTGGCCATTTAAATATACCTGATAGAGTGAACCTTGGCTTCTTGACCTGTTCTGGGTGGGGTTAGACTCCCCTGGAAGTTGTAGCTTGAGGTTTATCCTGGATCCAACATTTTCACCAGAAGCTCAGAACATCTGTTTTCAGATCCTCACCAGCTAAGCCCCCTTTTGGAGAGAAATGAGTTGGCCACCATACTACTCCAGACTAGATGATTCAGTGTGTTTCATGTGGGGCTGCCCTTGAAGACAACTTGGAGCTTCCACCTGGTCCAACATGTGGCTTCCAAGGAACTTAAGGGAGCTCCTCTTGGAACTTGCATAGCCCCTGCTCCAAAATAGCTGTGTAGGTTTCCAGTTCATTTCCAGGCCCAACATCAGTGTTTGAAGCCCTGAATGACTAAGGCTTGTGAAACATGGACCACTTATAAAGACCATCTCCAATTAATCAAAAGATTCCATCAAAGGTGTCTCTGAAAATTTTTACACATCACTTGGGAAAACAGGCGAACTAATGCCAGTGTACTGGAAGAAGCAGAGATCACCAGAGTTGAAGCAATGATTCTTCAACATCAACTTCATTGGACTGGTCATGTTGCCTTTATCGTCTTCCAAAGCAACTACTCTATTCCATACTTAAAAATGGAAAGCGTAGTGCCGGTGGTCAACAAAAGAGGTTTAAAGACTTTCTCAAGGCAAATCTTAAAAAATGTAGTATAAACACCGACAGCTGGGAAACACTGGCCTGTGAGCGCTCCAGTTGGAGAACAGCCTTTACCAAAGGTGTCATGGGCTTTGAAGACACTCGAACTCAGGACGAAAGGGAGAAATGTTCTAAGAGGAAAGCACGCTTGGCAAACCCTCACCATGATCAACTCCTGCCTGGAAACCAATGCCCCCACTGTGGAAGGACGTGTGGGTCCAGAATTGGCCTCCACAGTCACTTACAGACTCACTGTGAAAACCGTGTTTATGGAAGACAATCTTACTCAGTTACAAGTTATCGCCAAAGAAGAAGGCTTAGGCCATCATATCTGAAAGACCACCTCCTTCTCCACAGACCCTTGTAGGAGTTGAGGTTGACAGAAGGGGCCCCTCTTGGTGTTCACCACCCTTGGAGGCTCAGAGGACATTCTCCACAGCAGTCCCTTAGCTTTGAAATTCCCTCCCCATAGAGGTGTATTTGGCACTTCCATTATTTACCTAAGAATCGCAGCATCACAGAAGTGTAGAGACGTCTTTACCCTGGTGTCTTTGACACCCGAGACACCTCATTCTCTTAACTAATTTGGTTTAAACCATTCTTCATATTGTATTTTGAAACCTTATGGCGAAGGGCGGCTAAGAAATCATAAGCTGGGGTAGCTCAGCAGAGCATGAGACTCTTAATGTCAGGGTTGTGGGCTTGAGCCTCACATTGGGCAAAAGATTCCCGCATTGCACGGGGTTGGACTGGATGACCCTCGTGGTCCCTTCCAATTCTACGATTCTAAGCCCAAACCTGGAGGCTTTTCCCCAGCTCCATCTTATTTGTGGGAGTTCTTAGGGCTGACAGTTCTAACTGGCTGGACAGAAACGTTACTGCCGCTTCTGGGTGTTTTTGGAAGAGTCAGATGTTCAAAATTAAACAAGAGGAAACTTACATAGAGAGCAGATAGTCCATAAGGCACACTTTTACCAATAGGTATTGGTATCTTAAAAAGCAGAGACATCACCTTGCCAACAAAGGTCTGTATCGTTAAAGCTATGGTTTTCCCAGTAGTGATGTATGGAAGTGAGAGCAGGACCATAAAGAAGGCTGATCGCCGAAGAATTGATGCTTTTGAATTATGGTGCTGGAGGAGACCCTTGAGAGTCCCATGGACTGCAGGAAGATCAAACCTATCCTTTCTGAAGGAAATCAGCCCTGAGTGCTCACTGGAAGGACAGATCCTGAAGCTGAGGCTCCAATACTTTGGCCACCTCATGAGAAGAGAAGACTCCCTGGAAAAGACCCTGTTGTTGGGAAAGATGGAGGGCACAAGGAGAAGGGGACGACAGAGGACGAGATGGTTAGACAGTGTTCTCGAAGCTACCAGCATGAGTTTGACCAAACTGCGGGAGGCAGTGGAAGACAGGAGTGCCTGGCGTGCTCTGGTCCATGGGGTCACGAAGAGTCAGACATGACTAAACAACTAAACAACCACAACAAATTGGGTGGGTAGATAAGAATTGTCAGAGACAGGTTTTTAAAGTACAGATGCTGCCATCTTGTGGATCAAACTTAAGTATGGAATGAATTTATTCAGGCCTTTCTGAGATCAAGCAAATTTTTTTTTTGTAAGGTTTGCAGGTTTGCTGGCATGTTGAATTTCCTAGCAACAAAAAGTACTGTATCCTATCCATAAAATAGGCCACTGTTGCAAAGGTGGAATAAAGCGGGTTCTAGCCAGATTAGCAGTTGTCTGTCGCTCTGGCAGGATGTTCTCCCATAAAATACTTTCACGGACCTTTCTGCCTTTCTCTGTTGCCTTTGGATAATCAGCTTTCATGTCACCGTGGGATAGGCAGGAGTGGTTCCCCAGGCCAGGCTGCAGAGTGCTAAGAGAGCCTGTGACATCAGAGCAGGCCAGCCAATGAGATTCGAAATCCTAAGGCACATGTGACCTTCCGTGAAACCAAATCCCTTAATGAGTGCTGTTCTGCATACTTTTGCATTCAGATGGCAGTAAATGCCGTTTGAGGGAAATTGGAGTTGTTTGGTGGAAAGGAGGCAGAAGAAGTCAAAGGAGAGAAAGCAGGAGAAGTAGGGAGTTTGAGAACAGGATGCTGGACTGGAAGGGCCATTGGCCTGATCCTGCTGGCTCCACTTACGTCCTGAACAACCCGGGAATCTCTCTTGTTATCGGTCTCTGTACTTAACAGTTTCTTTCCTTCTAGGGCACCCTGGCTGAGCGCATTCGAGCAGGAGGAGCGGGCATCCCAGCTTTCTTCACCAGCACGGGGTACGGGACTTTAGTGCAAGAAGGAGGGGCTCCGATCAAATACAACACAGACGGTACTGTTGCCCTTGCCAGCGAGCCCAGAGAGGTAAAAGATCATGCCTGTGTGTTTTAATAGTGGAGCTAGGGCAGCGATAGGGGACCATCGTTCTTGGGAAGAGAGTCCATAACAGACAGACAGAGGGCCTTCTCGGTGGTGGCGCCCGCCCTGTGGAACGCCCTCCCATCAGATGTCAAGGAGATAAACAGCTATCCTATTTTTAAAAGACATCTGAAGGCAACCCTGTTTAGGCAAGTTTTTAATATTGAATGCTGTATTGTTTCTAATACTCGATTGGGAGCCGCCCAGAGTGGCTGGGGAAACTCAGCCAGATGGGTGGGGTATAAATAATAATTTTATTTATTTATTTATTTATTTATTTATTTATTTATTTATTAAAACCATGTGAGTCTTTTGACCAGTTAGCATCAGCCATGCCCCCAACCCTATTGCTTGGCATTCTGCAAAGGAATAATTTAAAATGCCAACATGGGAGGGAACGGTTTTCAAGATGAAAAACTTTTCAAATATTTCCTCCCGCTCCTGGCTTCTCACAGGTGAGGGAGTTTGATGGGCGACACTATATTATGGAAAAGTCGATAACGGGGGATTTTGCGCTAGTGAAGGCGTGGAAATCTGATCGTGCTGGGAACATTATCTTCAGGTACAGTATTGCACACGGAGCAGATATGCTTTTCTCCAAAGCAGCAGTTTTCAAAGGGTTTCGTCAGGAAATCTTGGACTTCCTTTGGAAGCTCACCAGAGTATCCTGAAAGAGAAGATCAGTCATGTTGGACAAAGCTGACCCGTCAGTGTGCAAATGTTCTTCCCCTGTAATGCGCAGCTCCAAGGGGCTTTCTCCCTCCCCCCCCTTGTGTTGGGATGCACCTGCAGCTCACATTAAATTTAAAAAGTTTAATTTAAAAGTTGTGTAGCCCACTCTACAGGGTTGGGGTTTTTTTTGGTTATGTTTAGGTTTTGAGTGTGTTAATGCAGACAGTTTTCACCTAGAGGGACCAATGGTCTGACTCTGTTTCTTATGACCTGTGAAAAGTGGAGATTTAGGAAACATAAGGATTGAATAGATGGAGAATGAATATATAATGCTATAGAAAACAAATAGGGTGGATCTGATTTTTTAAAAAAGAAATCTGCATTTCTTGCTTCATGCAACACCCAAATTTGGCGACCACAGGGACTCATTTAGCATTTAATAAAGCAAAGGTGTCCAGGAGGGGGCAGTAGAAGCCCAAACATTTTTTTATGTTGTATGATGAGCTCAGGATAGAGAGAAATATCTAGAAAATAGGATCCTTTGATTTAGTTTTGAGGCTGCTCTACCAAGGCTTAGAGTCTGTGCCTTAGACCATCATTTGAGACACATTATCAGAGAAACTTGACACCCGTATAACGATGGGATTGACCCCCTGTTTTCTCTGCTCACCAACCCTCCCCCCCATTCCCTTCCCCTTCTTCACCCATGTACAACATAATCAAACAAAGACAGCTCATTTCAAGGAATGGAGAGTTGCTCTTGCACTTGTTTCTCACATGCATCTGGTTGGCCACTGTGAAAACAGGATGCTGGACTAGATAGGCCATTGGCCTGATCCTGCAGGCTCTTCTTACGTTTTTATATTCTTAAACACATGTCTGATTTTTATATAACCCCCCCCCTCCCCAGAAAAAAACAACCAATATTGTGTTTGCCATGGGCCTTGGTTTGCTAGTGGGAATCTTCTGGGTAGAAGGCAATGAAGTATTTCTGCAGCTAAGTCTTGCTCTTCCCTCATTCAGTGGTCAAATAGGTGTCACAAATGATGTGCCACCTGGATAATCTCCTTTCTCCCCTCCACGTTGCAAAATGTGCCCTGGATGTTCACCCTCTTGCCCATTTTATTTAGCTGGGAGTAAACACTGCTGAGCTCAGCGGAACCTACTTCCCAGTTGACACTTAGAAGGAGCGCATTGCAAAGTCCCCCACCCCTTCTTTTAAACAGTAGCACACATGCGCACAAACACACACTGCATGGTAAACAAGCCTGCAATTTTAAATGTGTTCTTAAACATATCCTAGGTATGCAAAGGTCTGTATGTTACCTCCTTACTGCTATCTTCTCCCTCCTCCCTAATTCCTTTAAATTTAGGTTGACCCAGTGCTTTCCCTGATATTACAGTAATATGACAGCCTGAATGTGAGCAGAAAATACTCTCCTATCTTTTGCTTTCAGTTAATTTTCCCTTCCCCTTTTCTCTGCCTCAAATAGGAAAACTGCAAGAAACTTTAACCAGCCCATGTGTAAAGCTGCCAGAACAACTGTAGTAGAGGTAAGGTCAAACAATTTTTACTTGTACTTCAAAGCTTGCTAGGACTCCTTACAGATCTTTGCGAATTGCTCAGATGAAGTTGACAGATGCTGTATACATGCACAACTGAAACCAGGTGTGATGTTCTGCTCCAGTTGAAGATGATATGCCTTTACCTGCAGCAGGGATAGAAGAGGGAAGGATTTTGGAAAAACCCAAATGATGATAAGCTGTGGTATCATCTGCGTAAACGTAAAACCTGAACACCTGTTTCTGGTATACAACTACGAAAGGCCTAGTGCTCACCTGAGGCCTGCGGGCTGAAGGTGGAGACCCCCAAGATTTAATGTTCCTCCACCAACTAAACTAAACTATATTAAAATTCCATTGCATAGAAAGCGATATCAGCAGGGACGATTGCAGTCCTCAGAGTGGTTTAACAGTCTGTCCCTCTTCCCAGGGAACTATGGGAATTGTAGCTCTGTGAGGGGGAATAGGGGTCTCCTCACAACTCCCAGTACCCTGAGCACACTACATTTCCCAGGATTCTTTGGGGGAAGCCATGACTGTTTTAAAACAGCATCATACCACTTTCAGGTATAGTGCAGATGAGATCTTCAGCAGCTGTATGCTGGCATACCAGTCTTCCCGTGCTTGTGCTTATGTAGCCAAAACCTCACTGACGCTCAAGAGAAGAAGTACCCAGCAGACTTGAGGTAATAATTATACACAGACAGAAAAGCAAATCTATAGCTAAAATATATCCTAGAGGCTGGGGAAGGAGCTACACAAAAAGTAAATGTTGTAGAATACTGACAGACTGAAAAATGGGGAAACTGAGAACTAGGTAGCAGAAGGGAATAGAATAGACTGGGCAGAACAGGCTTATGTGAATATATAGATTATATAGAGATCTATATAACCATCTTGTTTTCTGGATGTCAGTTCCTGGTTCACACTGAGAAGCTATTTTTGGACTCCCCCAGACAGCCTGTTTACAGTGGTACCTCGCAAGACGAATGCCTCGCAAGACGGAAAACTCGCAAGACGAAAGGGTTTTTTGTTTTTTGAGCTGCTTCGCAAGACGATTTTCCCTATAGGCTTGCTTTGCAAGACGGAAACGTCTTGCAAGTTTGTTTCCTTTTTCTTAAAACCGTTAATACAGTTGCGACTTGACTTCGAGGAGCAACTCATAGCACACGGTGTGGTAGCCTTTTTTGAGGTTTTTGAAGACTTTGGTGATTTTTGAAGCTTTTCCAAAACTTTTCCGACACCGTGCTTTGCAAGACGAAAAAAATCGCAAGACGAAAAAACTCACGGAACGAATTAATTTCGTCTTGCGAGGCACCACTGTATTGAGCTTTCACTCCGATCTGCTTGTCCAAAACTTACTCAGAGGTTATTTTATAAATAAAATTTGTTTCTCACCCTTTCTCCCGAATGAGCCCAGGGTGGTATATGTCCAATTTTTCACTTGAGCTTTCAATCCGATTTGTTTGCAGGGAAGATTTATGACTGTCAGCCAGTGGCGTAGCGTGGGGGGTGCAGGGGGTGCCGGCCGCACCGGGCGCAACATCTGGGGTTAGGGCAAATCCACGGGTTAGGGGGCGCAAATCCACAGGTTAGGGGGGCAAATCCACGGGTTAGGGGGCGCAAATTACTTGCCTTGCCCCGGGTGCTGACAACCCATGCTACGCCGTTGCTGTCAGCATTCATCCTGATCTTCTGGTTACTCTCCTAGCCCCAAAAGATTCTGTGGTGGTGGTGGTTTTTTAAAACAGATTTGTTGAGCCAGGGCAAACAGAGCAACTTTGAGGCACTTTTAATTTCACAAACCTGAGTTTCCAGTGTGCGCTTGTTAACCCTTCTGCAAAACAACGGGTGTTCTGAAGGCCGTAATTATTTGATTGTCCCCAGGGATGGAAGAGAAAGCTGCCCTTACGCATCTAGAGAGAAGTTGAAGAATTTTGTGTAGGTAGGATTGGGCACAAGTATACCCATCCCATGGAGTTTTCTTGGCAGGGATACTGGAGTAGCTTGCCAGTTCCTGCTGCAGGTGGATTACGTTTGGTCAAAACTCTCCACTATGACCTGTCCATCTTGGGTGGCCCTGCACGGCAGAGCTCATAGCTTCTCTGAGTTATTCAAGCCCCTTTACCATGGCAAGGCAGTGATCCAGGGATCACTTTGCCAACAAAGGTCCGTATAGTTAAAAGCTATGGTTTTCCCAGTAGTGATGTATGGAAGTGAGAGCTGGACCATAAAGAAGGCTGATCGCAGAAGAATTGATGCTTTTGAATTATGGGGCTGGAGGAGGCTCTTGAGTGTCTCATGGACTGCAAGAAGATCAAACCTATCCATTCTGAAGGAAATCAGCCCTGAGTGCTCACTGGAAGGACAGATCCTGAAGCTGAGACTCCAATACTTTGGCCACCTCATGAGAAGAGAAGACTCCCTGGAAAAGACCCTGATGCTGGGAAAGATGGAGGGCACAAGGAGAAGGGGACGACAGAGGACGAGATGGTTGGATAGTGTTCTCGAAGCTACCAGCATGAGTTGACCAAACTGCGGGAGGCAGTGGAAGACAGGAGTGCCTGGCGTGCTCTGGTCCATGGGGTCATGAAGAGTCGGACACGACTAAACGACTAAACAACAACATACCCATCCCGCCTCAAACGAAGAGAGAAACCCCAATGCAGGATATAAATGGCAAATAGAGATAAAAATTCCAATGCAGTCCAGTGAAAATTGAGCGTGCTGTTTTCACATGTCATTAGTTTCTTTTTATATCCCATTTGTAGAATACTTTGTAAGTGGAATGGTTCCTTACCAAAGGGAAAAACGAAAGCTAGGATAACAGAAGCCTAGTTTTCCTCCTGATTTTTGAGATCCTCATTCATTATGGAATAGTTGGGAGACTGGAAGATGAGGTTTGATTTAGCAAGGAAGAGGAACAAAGGGGTGGGGGTGGGGCTCCGATCTGAGTGCAGAAATGCTCTTTCACCCACGACTAATTAAGGAAATGTAATTAAAACCCCTGCAATGTATCTTTGGTTACTTAGCAACGCCATTAGAATGCTGCTATCGCAGGTACAATGGACTTTCATTACATTGTGGGACAGGAATGAATAGCTCCATTAGTCACCAAAAATTGTGGTGTTGCTTTCATTGTTAACGATGAGACGCTGAGAAATGGCCATGCTTATAAATGCACACTCTTATATTGCTGATAACAGTCCTGGCTCTTGCGTCCCAGAAACTCTGCTTAATTCTAATTCTACCTTGCAAATTTGAATTCCGAGATGCGCCACACTGACTACGCATCAGCCAGGAAGCTGCGGTAGGGGCTTTGGCCTACCAGTGAGTTTCTTCAAACACAATTCAAAGTATTGGTGCTATAAAGGATATTGGGGTTGCTTGTGCATAAAGGGTGCTACTGTTCTAGGCAACGTAGCCTGGCAAAACCTTTCCCTGGCTGGACAGCCCTTTCTCCATGGCTGTGTCAGTCGCTGGCAGAATCCGTCAGTGGGCGTTTCCTGAACTTCTTCCAACATAGAAACTCTTTGACAGCAAGTCTCCTCCTCGCCTCCCTGCGTGGAAGTCTCCTGCGCAGAGTGGGTGTGCCCAACGGAGGTCCTGTGCTCTCCCCGCTGGTCTCTGTGGAAGAGTCTTGGAGCCCTCTCTCCGCAGTTTCCCCTTGCTTCCTGGTGTCACTCCTATTCCCTTCCTCAAAGGAAGTGTTCTCTCTCCCCCTGCTGGTCCCTTCTCCTGCATCTTTGGGGAGCCTTACCTCCACTATCGGCTCCGATGGCAGTTCCCTGACAGGTGCTGCCCTTTAAAGCCCTAAACGGCCTTGGCCCAGTATACCTGAAGGAGTGTCTCCACCCCCATCGTTCAGCCCAGATACTGAGTCCAGCGCCGAGGGTCTTCTGGCGATTCCCTCACTGTGAGAAGTGAGATTACAGGGAACCAGGCAGAGGGCCTTCTCAGTATTGGCACCCGCCCTATGGAATGCCCTCCCATCTGATGGCAAGGAAATAAACAACTATCTGACTTTTAGAAGACATTTGAAGGCAGCCCTGTTTAGGGAAGTTTTTAATAACTGATATTTTATCGTGTTTTTAATATTCTGTTGGGAGCCGCCCAGAGTGGTTGGGGAAACCCAGCCAGATGGGCAGGGTATAAATAATAAATTATTATAATATTATTATTATCTTGCCCCTTTTTTCTAATTCAGGGGTAGCTAACCTGAGACCCTCCAGATGAAATCCGGAAATCCATCTCCTATTAGCCGTAGGCAGCATGGCCAAAGGTCGGGAACGATGGGCGTTGGAGTCTAATAACATCTGGAGGGTCAAGGGTTGCTTCCTGGATCGTGTCCAAGCTTCCACACAATCACTTTTCCGCATTAAACATTACAGCGTTGGCCACTCAAAAATGCTTTTATATACTGGTGTAAGATATGAATTTGCACCTGCTGAATGGATGAACTTGGGCATCCGTCTTTAGCGGCTTCCCAGCTGCAAGGATCCAAGAATTAGCCATTTGTGTACAGGAAATTCCCGTGGCAATTGTCACTAGTAGTGAATCTTTGCACACTTTCCTGCCAAGAGCAAAGGTTTGTACCCAGGATTCCCAGATGCACAAGGTTGCAGTGCTTCATGCAACTTGGGAGAAAAGTAGGCTATCAATACATAAATACGACAATGACAACAATGTATTTGGCCATGATGCCATCTTGGTCTTCCACATTTCAGCCTTAGAAATCCATCTAGAGCTCTGGTTCTGTTTTTCCTCTTTCATAGTTTCAGGTGGGGGGTAGAATTAATGGTTTGAAAGGTTTATTAGAAGGTTTATTAGAATGTCTTATAGGAAGACATTTTTCCTTTGGTGTTCTGCTGGGTATCTACTGCTGTTTTGCAAAGTAAGGCAGGATGGAGAGAGGTTTGGCTGTTTGCTTGCTTCTGTCAAATTGGAAAATGGTGCGTTTTGTTGCTTCCCCCACCCCCACGGTGCTCCTCAATCCTATTTGGAGTTTCTGTGGGGAAGAGTCTTGCTGTGCTTCGGCTATTATGTTTCAATGCGCATCTTGAGTTATTATGAGTTTCTCCGACTGGCATTTCAAAACGCTTATTCTTTTATAAGGGACGCGGGTGGCGCTGTGGGTAAAAGCCTCAGCGCCTAGGGCTTGCCGATCGAAAGGTTGGCGGTTCGAATCCCCGTGGCGGGGTGCGCTCCCGTTGTTCGGTCCCAGCGCCTGCCAACCTAGCAGTTCGAAAGCACCCCCGGGTGCAAGTAGATAAATAGGGACCGCTTACCAAGCGGGAAGGTAAACAGCGTTTCCGTGTGCGGCTCTGGCTCTCCAGATGCAGCTTGTCACGCTGGCCACGTGACCCGGAAGTGTCTCCAGACAGCGCTGGCCCCCGGCCTCTTGAGTGAGATGGGCGCACAACCCTAGAGTCTGTCAAGACTGGCCCGTACGGGCAGGGGTACCTTTACCTTTACCTATTCTTTTATAAGCCCATGGGGACAACCCACCTGCTTAAATAAATGTCTTTGGTGTTCTTAGCACATGGGGTGGCAACATGTGCATTCTGCACATGTTATGAATTGAAGTGTCCCAAACTATACGCTCAGAATATATGCGTGCTCATATATATTTTTTTGCTTTGTAAAATGCTCCTTGCTTCCAAGAAGTAAAGTGAAAGATCATGGGTATATGAAGAGAGAGAGAAAATAGTGTCTGCTCAAATATTTTCCTCTTGGAAAGGCGTCGTATGGAGAGAAGCCTCCTAGTGACTGTAGTAGCTGCTGGTTCTCAAAGCAGCTACAGGCACAGTTGCACCTTCAGATCGCACTTCTAAGCCGTCGCCTTGGCTGACTCTTTGGTTAAAGAGAGGACCATTGCACAGTACCTAACTGTTTTGCTGGAGAGAACAAGAAAGTTAAATACTGGCTGGGGACTTCCTGTTCCCATCTGGCAATTAATAGCAAGACCTTGAAGTGCTGAGAGTGTGAGTAGGCAGCCGAGGCGGCTTTCTCCTCTAGCATAAACATGCAAACGTTACCTGCTTGGCTTCAGGCTCTTTTATTCTAGAATATTCAGTGTGGACGCTTTGGTGGGGTGTCAGGAGTCAGTGTAGTATAGTGGTTGGCCTGCTAGACTAGGGCAGGAGAGACTGGATTTTAACTCCCCACTCTGCAGTGAAGCTCAGTGGGTGATCTTGGGACAGCAAACTACCTTGGAGAATGGGTGGCACGCTTGTTCTTGGGAACCACCTGACGCTCTTGACTTAAAAGCATGCTGTGCACATGGCGCTCAGTGTGTGCAACACTTACTTTCAATCTGTGCAATACTTGCTTTCAGAACCAGGAAGTGGGTAGTAGAGAAAGTCAGACTTCCAGTTAAAGGATCTAAGAAGAAGAAGAGGAGGAGGAGTAGTAGTTTGGACTTGATATCCCACCTTTCACTCCCCTTAAGGAGTCTCAAAGTGGCTAACAATCTCCTTTCCCTTCCTCCCCCACAACAAACACTCTGTGAGGTGAGTGAGGCTGAGAGACTTCAGGGAAGTGTGACTAGCCCAACGTCACCTAGCAGCTGCATGTGGAGGAGCGGGGAAGCGCATCCGGTTCACCAGATTACGAGTCCACCGCTCTTAACCACCACACTGGCTCTCCCAAGCCCTCACCTCACTTCATAAATTGAGAGCTCTTGGAGGACCTGGGGACTTACCTCTTCAAAAGGAACTGAAGGGCCCTGCCTGTTGCCATCTGCTAATCTTTGTGTACTGTGTGCACCCTCTGATTTTTACCCTTTTTGTTTTCCACATCTGCTCAGGTAGAAGAAATTGTGGACGTTGGTTCCTTTGCCCCAGAAGATATTCATGTCCCCAAGATCTATGTCCATCGTCTCATCAAAGGGGGAAAGTATGAAAAAAGAATCGAGGTAAGTTTTAACGGGTTTGGGGCCATCCTGTGTGTTTGCCCATGCAGCCTGGGCACATTTGTGTTGCTTCTCTTATTTTGCATAATTATGGGTTTCGCTAGTTACAAGGAGTGATGCCTCCCAATCACGGGTGATACTGCTTAGCCACCTCTCTGACTTCTAAAAAAATTCAACACCCACCCACATACACCCACCCAAGCATATCTTCATCCTGAGGGGCTGGAAACTTGTTTTTTCCTACTCTTTTTTGAAAAAAACAAAAGCTGATAATCTCATCGGAGCTTGAATGTATAAGCAATAAAACATTTTTGTGCCTCTGTGGACCTCAGCAGACACCATGCCGTTTCCATATCCAATTATAAATGAAGGTTGAATCCCAATGCAACCCACTTAACAGAACGCATCCTCAGCACTTCATTAATTACATCTGAATTTCACTAAATAGCCCCCAAAACTGCAGCTGTCGCCAACATCCTTTGGTGAGAAATAGTGAATGAATTCTGAGCTCATGTTTAGGATCCGGTTATTACCATATTTTTGCATTGGCAAGAAACCTGACCTGTCACCCTAGGATCTGGGGGTACAAAGATGCTTGGCTGGTATGTTGTGTGTGGGCATGTGTGCCCAAGCATCCCTCAGTCTTTTAGCTTGGCTTATTTAAGTCAGCTGGGACGCGGGTGGCACTCTGGGTTAAACCACAGAGCCGAGGGCTTGCCGATCAGAAGGTCGGCAGTTCGAATCCCCGCGATGGAGTGAGCTCACGTTTCTCAGTCCCTGCTCCTGCCAACCTAGCAGTTCCAAAGTACGTCAAAGTGCAAGTAGATAAATAGTTACCGCTACGGCAGGAAGGTAAACGGCGTTTCCGTGCACTGGTTTGGTTCTACAGAAACGGCTTAGTCATGCTGGCCACATGACCTGGAAGCTGTCTGCGGACCAACGCTGGCTGCCTTGGCCTATAGAGCGAGATGAGCGCCGCAACCCCAGAGTCGGTCACGACTGGACCTAATGGCCAGGAGTCCCTTTACCTTTACCTAAGCCAGCTAGAGCTCTTGTCTCTGCAAGTGCATGCCTCTTCTCTGGAGAATGGGTGTTGTTTGAGTGACCTTGGTGGGGGTAGCCAACTTCAGTTGCTCCCAGCCAGCATGACAAATGGTCGGGAGTGACAGGATATTTTGGAGGGTACCATCCTGACTACCTCATGCCAAGAGGGGATCCTTTGGAAGCCTGTTGAGCAGATAATTGTGTTTCATGTTGCTGGTTGTGGGCCCAGGTGGCTGTCATTTCTTACGATTCTGTTGACCTATTATTAGAAGTGGTTTCCATACTGTTTTGCGAGGAACGTGGAGATTAGGGAAGAGCTGCGATTCAGAACCGGCGCTCATGAGTTACATGCAAAAAGGTTCAGTCCATGGCAATCTCCAGCAACTGTAGAGAGAGAGAGACCCCTGGCTGAAACTCTGGAAAGCCCCTGCCAGTCAGTATTAACTGTGTTTTGGAGGTTTAAGTTATGTTTAAAATTTTGCACAGTGTATATTTTTATTGTTGGTAGTCGCTTTGAGGCCTACCTGGTGGAAATAAATAAAGTAAAATAAAATAATAAATAAATAAACGGACCCATGTTGTGACTCCCTGTATAAGGCAGCTCCATGGATAGTTTTCAGAGGCAAGGAAAAACTTGAATTGGGATGGAACACCAGGGCAGTGTCTCGCATCAATCTGCACACCCTCTATAACCTGTCGCAGAATTTTTTGCGGAGCACAAGGGGTCTGTGGCAGATACGGAACCGTTCCTCAGCAGGCATATCCATAGGGAAAGTTTTGCCTGAACATAGAAAACTTGAAAACCCGCCCCTTGTGATAAAACTCTTGTTTTAGTACTTTGGTTCTAAGGCAAGGTAACTAAGGGATGCAGCCACCTTGCTGAAGATAAGCAGATCAGGGTCTGACCAGTACCTGGACAGGAGACCATTTTGGAACCTCCATATATGTCACCTTGAGCTCCAGGAAGGAAGGAAGGAAAGAAGGAGAGAGAGATAATAAATAATTAAATGCATCTTACGTGTGCTGAACGATAGCACTGCTTACCTTTTCCTTTTGAGGCTAAGCATCAAATATTATTCCTGATTCTTCTTCAGCCCGATAGGAGGCTGGGTATAGATCTTCATTATTGCACAGCCAAACCATTATTGTTTTCAGTTTTTCTCCTGTTCTCTAGACCGGCATCTCCCCTCTCTCCCTCCTTCGACGCCACTCCCCCCCCCCACCTCGTTTTTAAGTGTTTTATATCGTCTAGACCAAAGTTACAGCAGGGATTAATTTTGGTCTGCTGAGTTTTGTAATCCTTCTAGGGATCTGCCTTGTCAAAACAGGCGATGGAATGGCAAGCTCCTCTGTTTACTGTCTTAAGAGTGAGAGTGCCTATAAAAATTGCATCTACCGTGGAGGCTCTGGGCTCGCTTCTTCAAACGTAAATTGGTCTTGGATGGAATGCGGTTATCCACCCGAGTGCCGAGTGAGGGTTCCAGTATAAAGCAGATTTAGCTTAGAGTGCCTGGAAAAGGAAGATAGTTTATCATATTAGGAGAGGAATAATTATGGCTGTAATATCTGGCCTGGCTCTGGCTGGGAGAGCAAAACATCCCAAGGGAAGCCTAATTCCGATTTAAGCTGCTATTAAACATATCTTCGCGTTTTCTTTATGCCTCAGTTTCAAAAGTGAGAAGAAGCAGAGACTTGGGCCAAGATGCAAGTCAGAGTTTTAGATTCAGAAGCCTTGGTGCTTCGAATGCATGGATACAGTATACAGTCGTACCTTGGTTCTTGAACGCCTTGTGACTTGAATGTTTTGATTCCCGGACACCGCAAACCTGGAAGTAGGTGTTCCGCTTTGCAAACTATTTTGGGAAGCCATCCGACATGGCTTCCGATTGAGTGCAGGAAGCTCCTGCAGCCAATCGGAAGCTGTGCTTTGGTTTTTGAACATTTTCAGAAGTCAAACGGTCTTCCGGAACGGATTCTGTTCGAGAACCAAGGTACCACTGTATAAGCATCCTGGTAGCAGTCTGGCTGCTTCCAGGCTTCCACTTCCAGTTCTGAGATGCATGCAGGAGTGCCCTGGAGGGAGAATGTAAAGATGTGTAATTTCTCCCTCTCTCTCTGTTCTGCCAAATAAAAGCCATGTGCCTGGAAAGTGAAATAGGGCAGGGGTTTATTTAAACAACGTAGATAAATGAAAAACTCTGAAGGATTTTTTAAACCACCGGTCCTAAGCGGAAGCGCTTCAAATGTACCGATTCCCCACGGATGTTGGGGAGCTTATTCCAACTACTGAGCTCTGCTTATTGGGCCAATTCACATCTTTCCAAGCCAAGTCCATTTTTGGCTTGGGAGCTGCTGAATGTTTACTCCAAACTTCCGGTGAATTCATGCAAATGTGTACTGCCAGAGGCATTATCTTCAGAAGAAGATGAAATCAGCGGCATTGCTGATTATTTATTATTAATTTTAATAAAGCACTGCTGCTGCTACTTAGCATTCATTCTGTGTCTGATTCATTGTTTTTCTTGGTTTTCATTTTCCCCCCTCACTGAGCTTAGAATTCTTAACTTTTACTGTCTTTCTTCCTCATTCTGCTTCAATTTCACACTGTTTTTTATAATTAAATAATTTTTATTAATTTTACAATTTTATATTCATTACAGCCACCATTATCACAAAGGAAAAAACCATATAATTCCCTAGCCTCCCCCCTCTTGTGACTTCCATCAACTTCCTCTTCTGTTTTTTTTTTTAATAAAATTTTTATTGGTTTTACAAATTTTTAAAGACAAACAAACAACCAAAAAGACATACAAACACGTATAGTTTCATAACATTTTTTCATAGACCTCTTTTCCAGGACTCCCCCATACCCCCCCTTCCTGCATCCCAATGTCCACGATTTTTTAGCAACTTCTAAATATTCCTTTCCAACTTTTGTCATCTTAGTCTTTTCTATAATCTGATCTTATATCACTGTATCCCTTTTTTCTTATAAACCTCGACATACTAACATTCATCAAGTTTATAATAGTCCTTAAGGTAGCTTTTAAATTTTCTCCATTCTTCTTCCGCCGTCTCTTTTCCCTGATCACGGATTCTGCCAGTCATCTCCGCCAATGTCATATAGTCCATCACTTTCATCTGCCATTCTTCCAGGGTGGGTAGATCTTGTGTCTTCCAGTACTTTGCGATGAGTATTCTTGCTGCTGTTGTAGCATACATAAAGAAAGTTCTGTCCTTCTTTGACACCAATTGGCCGACAATACCCAGGAGAAAGGCCTCTGGTTTTTTAGAGAAAGTACATTTAAGTACCTTTTTCATTTCATTATATATCATTTCCCAGAAAGCCTTGATCTTCGGGCATGTCCACCAAAGGTGGTAAAAAGTACCTTCGGTCTCTTTACATTTCCAACACTTGTTATCAGGCAAATGGTATATTTTTGCTAGCTTGACTGGGGTCATGTACCACCTGTAAGTCATTTTCATAATGTTTTCCTTTAAGGCATTACATGCCGTGAATTTAATACCGGTGTTCCACAACCACTCCCAGTCAGCAGACATAATGTTATGACCAATGTCCTGTGCCCACTTAATCATAGCTGATTTAACTGTTTCATCTTGTGTATTCCATTTCAGCAACAAGTTATACATTCTTGACAAATTCTTAGTGTTGGGTTCTAGCAATTCAGTCTCTAATTTTGATTTTTCCACCTGAAAACCAATTTTCCTGTCCTGTTTAAAGATCTCCATTAGTTGGTGATATTGAAACCAGTTTTGTACTTTAGGTTTCAATTTCTCGTGACTTTGTAATTTCAGTTTATCTCCCTCCTGTTCCAAAATCTCCCAATACTTCGGCCATCCGACCTCCATATTGAGTTTCTTCCATGCCTTAGCCTCCACAGGAGACACCCATCTAGGGGTTTTGTTTTCCAGCAGATCTTTATATCTTATCCAAACAT